TGAATGCAAAGTTGATTAAGATACAGATAGTTTTAAATAATTCATATTGGATTCAAAATCCTTTTAAAAAGTTTAAAAACAAGATGCATGATACCACCCAACCCTCTTACAATAATATTTTTGTAAACATTTTTCATATTTAAAAAAAATAGCTTATTTATTTTGATCAAAATTTCAAAAGCTTGTGAATTTAATTTTTTTGATATTTTGAACAACAGCCTTATCAAAAGAATGTAAAAAAAACAAGGATAATTTTTTGATTTATAAAATTAATATTAAAAATAAAAAAACAGTCAAGAACCAGCTGGCCAGATCCCAAGGAGGAATGATCCTACTACTGTAGTTAAATGGCTTGGCTAGCCCAATATTTTAACTAAAATTATTATGCAAGTCTGAAGGTTATGCTCGTAGTTGGCAGAAAGGTATGGACAGCTATTAAAAAAATCACGAAGCTTTGCTTAACATTTTTTGGCTTAAATTACTGAATCCTCTAGTTTTATTAATATTAAATCAAAATAATTAAAAGTTTAAAAACATTTATTTTTGCAAATATACAAATTAGAGGTTTACAAATGAACTTTTCAGGCTCAGCCTGATGACCCCGGTCCATCATTTTTGTCCAGTCCGATTTTAATTTTTTTTTAACCAAGGATGCCTCCAGACCCGGTTTTTATTATTATGTTTTTTAAATACAAGGCCTAAAACGGAAATGGATTTTTTGTTGAATTCCCAAAATAAACAACTGTTTATAATAATTGAGGTTAAATTTAAAAACACTTTATACTTTATGGATTGTCACTTCTACGAAATTTCAGAATTCATCAAATATAATAATTTTTAATTAGGGCATATCCGATATTTATATCGATTTTTAGTTTTTCTATCAATATTTTCTATTTTGAAAAAAAAAGGATCAACTAATTATAAAGTGTGTTTTAATAATTTTTTAATTCTTCAAAAGTTAATAATTTTAATTTAAAATATTTGCATTGTTTATTGGTGAATGTATACTACTTATACAACAACTCAATTTAGCCGGTTTTTTTAAAATAGGTGGTAAATCAAAGTTTTAGCAAATATTATTACAAAAGCCTTCAAAATTTAGTCAATAGAAGTTCAAAACCTTTATACCATCAGCAGGCAAAATCAATTAGCTCGAGTAATTTACTTTTGGCCGAAATCTTAGGTTTTAAAAATTGGTTAAATCGGTAGCGACTCTAGCGTAACGTGAGTAGTATTTTTAAAATCTTTTTCTTGTTATATAAACAAAAAAAAATTGTAATTTAATTTTCCTTCATGAATTTATTATCATAAAATTATTTATAAAATAAAAAAAAAATTATAGGATTATGTACATAATCATAAAATAACCAAAAACACTTTATCGGATCGGATCAGTTTTTAAAAATAATATCGGCCCGGTTTAATATTTTTCGAAAACGCGAAATATCGGTTATTGGATCGGGTTTTTAAAATATATACTCGATCCGATATTTTTGAAAACTGAAATATCGGTTACCGAACCGGGTTTTCCAAAACGATCCAATATTTAATATCGGTATAGCCTTACTTTTTTAATATTGTTTTATTATAAAAATCTTATAAAACTGTTTATTTTAATAATAATATATTTTATTAATTCTTTTATTTTTGTGGGTGTCATAATAATTTATTTTTGTCGATCTTTTAACATAAATTATTTTCCGCTAGCTGACACAATTTGAGCCAAAATTAAATGAAAATAAATTTAAATGTAATTCTTGGGCTTGTTTATTTTATATCAAACCATTCTATTTAAGGCATAGTTTTTCTTAATCTTTTTTTGACAGGAAATTAATTCCAGCTGAGAAAAGTCTTTCACAAGCAGCTGATCTACTTTGTTTATCGAATTACCTGCCAGATTGACGGGTTAATTATTCAGATTGATTCGAAACGAATATTTGATTCTCTTTTGAATGGGCCTACCATTCGTTACTTTTAAAACGAGGAGTAACGAATAAGTTATTCCTCACCCTCTAGAAGATACGTCGTTACTTTTACCATCACATTGTCGTACTGTCATAAATGGGGGGACTGCATTAAGTAGTTATGCTATCATACCCTACCCTTATACCAATTTATTTTCCCCTAGAATTTCGTTGTTCGATTCATGTCCGATCAACCCCGGATTTCTAAAATTAAATTAAAAATAATTATATAAAAAGAGTTTCAAAGAGAAATCAAAAACAAATACGAATATCTACCATCTGTTTAAAAAAAAATATAAACTGGATTATTGCTATAATTTCGATTTATTTAAAAAACAACACCTGATCTGGCCCGACCACCCGGATTTTTAAATCACTTCATGACCAGTTTCGGATATCCGGACCCGCAACTCTCTGATAACTCAAATATATGATATTTCAAGGCATTTAGCAAATATGCTCAAAAAAAAATTCATTATGTTTCTATAAATAGACCATTCATAAATTTTAGTAAATATGAAATATCGCATGATATATTTATTTTTTTAAACCCATTCGCAAAGGCATTTAGCAAATATGCTCAAAAAAAAATTCATTATGTTTCTATAAATAGACCATTCATAAATTTTAGTAAATATATGAAATATCGCATGATATATTTACTTTTTTTAAACCCATTCGCAATATACCAAAAACCAAAAACCAAAAAAATATGTTTATTTTATATGAACTTACGTCTACCATTTTTTTGCCTTTTGGTAAACGGTTGTAAAATTTATCTGCCATCTCTAATTCGCCTATTCCTAATAAATACCACATAGTAAACAAAATATAGACTTTATTGTATAGCTCCATCTCACCCGCAAAATTGGGATTTTTCGGTCTGAGACCTGTTTAGAACGGCCCGGCCCGGCCCGGCCCGAATTTTTAATTTGTTTTTAGTACTAAGCCAGGATCTCACCCTTTTAATTGAAATATTAAATGTAAATTTTTCCACAATCTTTCTTAAGATTTTCTGATTATTTTTTAAATGATAATTTCTATTATTTTTTAAACCCGAGGCTTGTGTTCAGATTTGCATAACTTTTTTTTTGAGAATTATCTTTTGAACACATGCTCGAATTGAAAGTCATGGCTGAGCCACCGTCTTTGTCTCCCCCCTTATCGCTAGCGATGAATTTCAAATCATATGGTTCAAATTTGGCGCGATTATATCTTTGCGCCAAATGTCATATTTTTTTTTAAATTTTTTTAAAAAAAAGGCTAATTGTTTTAAAACTTTTCAATTATAGCCTTCTATTTAGGTTGCTTAAAAGTATTCATTTTGAATCGTAATTATAATTCTCCAATTCTGAATTTGTAAGCTCATAAGAAAGGAAGAAAAGAAAGAAAGAAAAGAAAGAAAGAGAAGAAAGAAAAAAGAAGCTATAAGTATTAGTACCTTTCCCCCAGGCTCTACGGTCGACGCCATTTTTAAATATCGCCTATTGCCAATAGCGTTGGCGTTTTAGAGATGTTAATCGGCGGTACGATGCCATAACCGATCGATATTGCATATACTAAATTAATGCTGATCATTAACCGAATTTATTTTATTCGTCGATCTAATATTTTTCATTCATTCATTTCTCGCTTTTGGACAACATTTATATAACAATTTACCAAACAACGCAGCTAATAATTGAATTGAAACTGCCACGTCTATATATTTTTTTTACTGTGAAATAACAAGTCGGATCATATATTTTTTTTTTCCCTTCCTCGAAACTAATTTATGAAATCGAACAGAGACTTACTAATTTCTCAGTTTGAAATCGAATCACAAGAAGGAACGGAACTACGCTATGGGGAAAAATGGACCAAATTTTTTTTGGCCAATGGGATCGAACCTGTTACTCATGCGCGTATCTGTCGGAGGGGATGTTTACCTATGAGCTTCCACCCCATTATAAGTTTTGTAACCGAAGGGAATTCGGTTTCCGGTTTTAAATATTTCAAAGAGATTCCTTCCGCTTCTTCAAAGTAGTCTAAGAGTTCCTGTTCTTAAATTTTATTTTAAAGATAGGGTTCCAGTTTCTGGTGCGAAGATTTCCGGTTAAACTCCCTGTCCAACTTTAATAAATTTTGTAGGCAGGGTAGGAGTTAAAAAAAATACAAAATCGATTTTTTAAAACGAATATTAATAAATAACATTTTTATATTCTATCTTAATTTTTTTTTGGACACATTATTTTAAAGTTTTATTTTAATGTAATGTTTTGTGTATTTAAAAAAAAATGTGAGTTATTTATAAAATTGTAAATACATTGTATCACGTGTTTTCTTTGGCCTTTAAAGTAATGTAATCAGTTCAAATGAAAATTTAAAAGTTAATAAATATTGAAAAAAAAATTTTGTAATTTATTTTTACTAAATTACTAACTTAATTATTGCTGACCAAGCCAAGTAATGTTGTATTATATACGGTTGTAACAAAAAATAAACGAAGTTCTTCGTTTCACCATTGCGACTTGGTATACAGATTCCTTTCCGAAGATAACGCGTCTAACCCCCCCTCACTTCCCCCCATCCTCAGGAGTCTACCCCCTTACTTCCTGTCAGATATTTGGAGGTAATATTGCTTCTCCCCACTTCCCCTTCTATGGTAGCGTCTAACGATTACGTTCGCCGTAACAATTTCTATATCCGGCACCTGTTTTTGGCCCGACCCGACTCGAATTTTTACGCTCCGTTTCAGGCCGGGCTTATACGTTCGCGGTTTAACACCTTCTTTCCAGATTGATTCGATGGAATGACAAATAAAATTATTAATATTAGACATACAAAAATATAAAAATAATTAATTTATATATTTATTTTTTTTTTAAAAAAAAGAGATTTTAGATACGTTGAAATTCATAAATTATCCCACATCCTTAACTACCAACAAAACGCACAATAATTATATTTACCAGTTTTATTATTCCGCAAAGATTAAAAATTTACCAGTTTTACAAATTTTAATTTTTCATATTTATTAGAAAATAATTGCTCGCAATAAATATACTAAATAATTTAAAAAAAAAAAATAAAACGAAATATTTTGAAAAAATTTACCTTTTGTTTGTTGGAATATTTGATTTGAAAAATAGAAAAAAAATATATAAATTTATCGATTGGATTCATTCTTTGACGCATTTCCCAGGGACCTAAAGATATAGACAAAAACAATATTTTGCAAATTTTTCGTGATTTTTGTTTGTTTGCTTGTTTTTTTAAAAAAAAAAAGGCAGAAGATAAGTTCATATTTATAAATCTATCCACGAAAAAAAAAATTAAAAAAAATCTACACAACACTAATACCATATTAAATGGATAGAGATTCGTATGATACTAACATTCCTTCCAGTTATCCCAGAAAGATTGGATTATATGATCCCATCTTCGAAAAGGATTCATGTGGTGCCGGATGTATAGTCAATATTAATGGCATAGCTTCGCATCAGGTTTAAATTATATATATATTTTTTTACTGTTTTGGGCCTAGGGTTGAAATAGGGTTTATTTTACTTCTAAAATTCTTTTGTCATATTAAACAATAAATTAGTGTTGTTAAATGGTTTCCATTTTTAAAAAACCGGCTAACCCGATATTTTAGCCAAAAATATTACGCACGCTTGGAGATTTTGGTCATAGATAGAGGAATGGTTTGGACATTTATTGGATTAGCCGTTTTCTAAAAATCGGTCTTTTGACAACACCGCAATAAGCATCCCACCACCCCCATAAGTCATCTGTAATTTATTGCTTTTTAATGCCCTAACTCCACCGAGGTTCTAAGTAAGAGTTTTCCCTCAAACGATTATTTTTTATTACGAAAATTGAACACATTTTACGTAGTTTTAGAAATTTTTCGATAAAATTATTTATTACATCCGCCATTTTTTTTCTTTTAAAAAATTTTATATCTTTGTGATCTACCTCCCGATAACCAGATTTTGAAAGACGCGAGGTTAGTTTTGGAAAGAATGGAGCATCGAGGAGCCTGCGGATGCGATTCCGACACCGGTGACGGCGCCGGGGTTATGTCGGCCATACCCCACGCCTTTTACGTCCACGTCTTGAGGTTTACAAACTATATTATTCATCGCGTCATCATTAAAAATAAGGAATTAGTAATTCAAGCGACAAAATTAAACGACATTCTTTTTTTTTTTTCGGGCGGCGTTTAAAACTGATTTATAATTTTTCTTAAAAAGGAATAGCGTATCCAGAGACCACTCCCTCGAGCTTATTTTGTAGGACGGTCCCATATTAATACATAACTCCACACGAAAAGTAAATATCGGCATAGCACGCCAAGCGGTTGCAAAGAATCGCTTTGTTTTTTTAAGACTGTTTAAGAGCAGTTTGAGTCCACTGCCCCTCCTAAGGGCGCAAAACGGGGTTTTAATCTAAAATATCGCAAGCATCCTTTCTAGCTTTTAGCTTAAAAAACGGTTAAACCGTGATAGAATCGGGAGAGGAGAAAGGGGTCACATGCGCCTTGATTTAGTTCGATTTTTGAAGGCGCCCTAAGGTTTAATTCAATTTTAAGAAGATTTTTGACATGTTTTTAATTTTGGGTGGGAAACAAACTTTCGTGCTATTTAAAACGACGATGAAAGATAATAAAACGAAAAACAAAAGAGAAATAAATAAATGAATATAGAAGGCACAAAAGTTAACAGTAATAAATCAAAGTTAAGAGACAAACGAATTAGGATGAAGGGGGACGTTTAAGGAATATCAATTATGAAAATGATTATTAAATTGTGTATAGGGGACACCGTTCCGAAAAGTCTAAATCATATGATTATTATTCCTACTCATATCTACTCCCACGCCCCCCCCTGTCTTTTTAGAATAATTTAATTCTTAAATTCCCTTCTTTTTCTCTTTTTTTTTTTAAAACTTAAAATAAAATAAATTAAAATAAGAGAAAAGGGAAATAAATTTTTATCTTGTCCGAATTTGAATATAAATCGAATTTTTTTTGGTTGGTTTGTTTGAAAAATTATTTCCATTAAATATCATCAATTTATTTATAGTACATCATGTACATTATATTATCTCTATATTAATAACCTACTTTTTTTTTTTAAAATATATATTTGTGATATATTAAAAATGATGAGCGACAAAAAAAAATAATTAATATATATTTATGATATACTATATACGACGTTCTCGAAGAATTCGATTAAAAAATCAAGGTTACACGCCACGTCCGTTTCTCCCCTAGTTTTTTTAAAATTATATAATTATTTTATATAATATAATGGAGAGGTTATAGTGCACAAAAATTGAGCGTTTACGTTTTGCCGTACGCGTCCCTTGTTTAAATTGTTGAGCATATCTTTTTATTAATATCCGTCGATTCAAAATTTTAAAAAAGGATTTGTCTTTAAAAATTATATTATCGTCTGCATTCTTATTTTTTTAATTTTCTAAATATTCCTTTTTAGAATTATAAGTAAGTTATTTATATTACATTTTTTATATAATATTACAAAGCGAAAGAAAGAAAGAAAGAAAGAAAGAAAGAAAGAAAGAAAGAAAGAAAGAAAGAAAGAAAGAAAGAAAAAAAAAGTAATGAAAAAGCGAACCTATTTGCCCTTTTTTTAACGCCGAACGGTAATTTTACCAATTTGCTCGAGGCCATTTTCAAATGCATTATTTGAGCTTGCAACGCAGCGTTTGAAACGCGTGCGCACTATTATATTGTGGTTTAGAAAGAAAGAAAGATAAAATCTTCTACTAACTTCGTAAGATTTTTTTTAAAAAAAGAAAAATATATCGTTTTAAATCATTTCCCCGCTCGTAGTTTTTCTTCTTACCCAAAAATATCTTTTCCGCTTTACGCCACCAAATCTTTAACTTAAAAAAAAGGAAATGCGCGTTTCCTAACAATGTATCTAGTACAAAAATTATTTTTTAAAAGATAAACCATCACGAACTCCGAAAATTAATCACTTATAAAATTGTCGACGATTATCAATCCATCAAATTGGGAATATGGAGAATATTTCGTCCATTTTTGAAGATTTTTTTTAAAAAAACATAATTTAAATAGATGTATTTACTTCTCTATCATATCTTATTAATATCAAATTTCAAATTTACTTTAAAAATTTTCTGGGAGATATAAGCGAGATTTTTAATTTTTCGCTGTTTCGTTTTTTCGCTAAATCGTGCACTTACCATATCTCACTTTTCTATGATTTTCTTTTGTTTAACGTCTGACAAAATTGAAAATGTCATTAAATTTATCATCACATTTTTTTCCCGCCTTTGGGACATTTTAAACAAAATAAATATATATTATTAAAAAAAAATATTTAAATTGATAAAAAAAAATTCTTTAAATTTTTTGTGTGTACAATAGCATTTGGACAAATTTGTTTTAAAAATGAAAATTCAGAGCTATTTACAGGTTGCCCACCACGGTATAGCCAGACCCCTGTAGAATTCAAAGGTTGCTCTGATAGGCTAGGCGGACATCCGATCCGTCAATAATCCGTCCACTGTCAATCTCATTAAAAAAATGATATGAATGATCATTACCTTGACCTGAATAATCTTAACAAGGAACATTTTTAAAGATGCATCATATCGAATTTGACGAACGATTGACGGAACCGATGTCCACGGAGGTCCCCCCTATGACTAATTAAAAATATTCAATTATAAAAAAGGATGTTTAGGTGTATATGTTGCCTAGGTGAAGGGGGCTAATTCCATATGATACCCTTCCGAAATTTTGAATGTCCAATTGCATCCCGGGCCCTGTTACTATACATGTTTTATTAAAACAAAAATAATATGATTTTGATCTGCATTTGTGGACTGATTGACAATAACACTCTTCTATAAGTCGTTAAACAATGACTCATATATCCCCATGGATTGAATTCCATATTATCTTTTATTCGCGATAAAAAAAATGGATTGTTTTACAATTTTGCGTTTTCCCTCCCTATAAATTTTATATCTACACCCCCCTTCCTACCCTGAGGGCTCCACTTATTTTAATTGATTTTGAAATATTGCGTTATCGATATTTAATTATTTTATTTTTTTTTGGCAAAGTCGAACGAAACTTTGAAAAATAAATATAATATCATTCATCGTATACTTTTTAAAAATAAAAATAAAATGTGTATATCAAATTACCCCGACTATTATACCCCCCCCCCCCCTCAATAAAAAAAAAGAAGTTTATTTAATTTACATAATATTTGAAAATGTGAATATTTATATTTTTATTGTCAAATTTTTTTTGGTTGCATTTAAAGATTTATTACTACTTTTTAAGTATCCATTTAAGGGGGGGGGGTGATAATTTTTTTCTTCTTTTCCGTGGGGAGGCAGAAGCTCATTGGGTAATAGGAGCCGTTGGGTGAGGGGGGGATTGTTACAAAAGTATGATGAAAATATTCTTCTTTCCCTTCATATATTTTAATTTAACCCAAAAACATATGTTGATAAAGGGATAGGGTTAGGTTTGTTAAAAAAAACGATTCTAGTCGATTTTTTTAAAAATGAGCCAGCCAAATTAATATAATTAGTTGGAGATTCTGCCCATAGATGGCAGAAAGGGTTTGACCTCTGTTGACCAGATTTGCGTTTTTTACCAACCCTGGATAGAGTTGTATTCAAAAAAAAAGTTTATATATTTAGCCTGGAAATAATTTTTGGGCTATTTACCGACACTGGCTACCTCGACTGTAGCATGATTCTCATAAAACTCAAATGAAACGCAAAAAAAAAATGAAAAATGTCAGATACGCTTTGCAGTTCGGTCGATGACGCATTAACCCAAATTCATAGTTTTGCGCGAATTTAACTAGCATACTTTGCATACATCGCCGAGAATTAGCGCTGACTATGAAATCAGGGTTATACTGGTCTACGATAGATCCGATGACTGACGTATTCATTAAAATGTTAACTTGAAGCGTCGTTAATATAAATCAGCTGATAACACGCCATTTTGTTTTCCGATAATAATATTTTGCTTACCATTAGTTAATATGTTATCGATACTCATTTAGATAAATGAATAGTCTCGATTCTGGGTATTATTATTTGATATGTCATTCGGACAAATCGCGAACAAACAAAGTAAATTGAACAAAATCAAAAACTTTAATTTGTCTTTTAATTGCGTTATAGAGAAACTAAAAATATCGAATTACCCAAACCCGGGAAATACGCGACGGGCCTATTCTTTCTCAGCCCCGAAACTTCCGACCAATGCCGAGAAATTTTCGAGAAAATAGCCAACGAGAGAGGAATGAAGGTTTATTTTGTTGAATAGAAATAGTTTTTTTGTTTGTTTGTAAACAGGTAGTTTTTTTTTGTTATTTAGTCAACAAACCGACTAAATAATGGCGCCAACAAAGTGTCTCCTACGTATATGTTCCACTTTTAAAATGAATTTTAATGAATGAGGCGTCAGTTTAGACTAGTAACACGAATGCCAATAAGCAAGGTCGAACCAGTATAACTTGGTCCGATACAAGCCATAAAATTATGAATGATTTGGTTAATATATTCTTGATCCCTTTTATTAGATATTGGCCTGGAGGACTATGCCAATCGATAACACGATGATAGGTAAAATAGCCAAGGATTCTGAACCTTTGATCGTTCAGGTTTCTATATTTTGATTTTAGTACATTGATTTTTTAAAAAAAATTAAAACCTCTAAATTTTAAGGGGTTTTCAGGACCGGTGAAAACTGGACCAATGACCATTGATTCTAATAAAGACTGTAACGGCGTTTAAATTAATTTTTATATGATTTTTTAAACTAATCTAGGGAAGCAATTTTTTTTGATGGGGAAAAAAAGTATAAAAGGGAATATGTTTAGTGAGAATATTACGATAAGATGGGTCTGGTTAATTAAGAATAACTATATTAGGGTAAGAAATATTTTATAACAAAAATCTGAATGAAAGAAAAGAAAAAAAGAAAGAAAGAATAAAGGATTGGAAAAATGGGAATTTATTTAACAAGAATATAGAATTACAATTTATCGCATTTTAATGAGTAAATAGCTTCAGTTACATTTTAAAAAATTATTTTTTATAAGCCATTAAATTTGAAAAGAAAGAAAGAAAGAAAGAAAGAAAGAAAGAAAACGTTACATTTTAAAAAATGCTTACATTAAAATACCTTTAATGTAACTAAACAGTTACAATTTTAGTAACCAGTTACTATTTCTTACAAACGCTACAGTACATCTAATTACATTTAACTTTAACTTCGAAAACCCAAATTAAATAAATCTCGAAATTCAGGTCTTTATGGTTCCCCGCGATCCCGAAACCAGTGAATTGGACTTTAAACGCAAAGTTTAATGATAAATTATATTAATATTTTCTTTTATATTATATAATATGTCATAGAATTCCCTAGGAAATACAGAATTTCTCAATTCCAAATAATTTACCGAGGGACGATTTATAAATTTAATATATATAAAAAAATAGAAAACTATTTCCGGTTTCGACATGTGTAGAGTAATTTATCGCTACAAATTTTTGTGACAATTTTCCCGCCAACATTTATATAAGTAGTTTTTACATGCTAAGCTAAATGCTTGATAATGGCTGCGCAGTATTCATCCGAGAGATTCTTAGTTCCCCGGGATCAAAGATCCCAAACATATGTGGATTCTATTTTCAAATGTCTACCACTCTCTTTTAAAGTCATTGAATTGATTGAATCCGATATCTTAAAAAATGTATCTTTGTTTGCTTGTTCCCATATTCAAGCTCATATATTCATAGTATATCTATCCTATATAATTAAAATGGATTTTTTTCTTCCTAATTATAGTTTATAATATATTGTTAAGAGTTTTAAGATGTCAAATTCAATTATATAAAAAAAATACACTAGAAATTGTTATAAGTATATTGATTTTTTTTTTGTTTTTAAAAAAAAGAAAGAATATTTATTATTTTATTATAAAACGATAAAAGAAGAAAGAAAATCTAAAAGTATTTAAGTGCCATGATAGCAAAAAAAAAATTTACTTAAAATTTTATGAAAAACTAAACTTTTTACAAAAAATAATGTAGTTAGTTTTATTATATAATTTATTAGGAAGCGAAAATACGCTTATAAACTCAGTGTTGTTAAACGGCTCGTTTTGAGTCCATTTTTTTAAAAACAGCTAACTCAATATTTCGTTCATCAAAATAATTACGCAAGCCTTAAGATTCTGCTCTTAGATGGTAGAAAGGTCCTGACATGTATTATCGAGATCTCGAGGCTTAAGCAATATTTTTCTGGACAAAGTAAATCGAGCCTTTTAACAACACTACCTAAAAGTGTTAATAAGCAAATGTGTACACGTTTAACTTTAAAATGAGCATATTTAAATAGTAAATGCGTAAATGTAAATAACTACACAATTTAAATTTTCCCCATTTTCTACAATATAGTGTATATATTTGGTTGGACAAAATGGCTATTTATACACCAATTTGGCTATTATACATTTGACCGTTCATTTACTACGAAACCCTTCTCAATTTCTACATTACTAATAATTCGGTATTGGTGCAATTTTAGGGTAAAGAGTTTGATGCTAATTTACTATTGGTGCAATTTTAGGCTAAAGAGTTTTATGCTAATTTGCTATTTACAATTGTTGATACAATTTACCAAATACGCCTATTTAAATAATCGAATTTGATCTTTTGGGTACTTTTAGACGAAATTTGTTATTTACTATTTTGCTCATTTACTATCATATTTTTTTTCTTCTTCATTAGCTATGACATTTGATCCTTTTTGTGCTATTTGATACTCTTATGGGCGAAACGTTTTTACGCAAAATGTTCCGATTTGCTCATGTTTAATTTTATATTTACCTTTAGTAGGAGAATTGTACTAATTTATTCCTACATCTGCCCATCTGTTTTTAAATCTGATCTTTTAGCTGCTTTTTTTTACACTTTTTTAGGCAGTGTTATTACACGGCTCAATTTGAGCCGAATTTTAAAAACGACTGACTCAATTATATTAACCGGAAAAATATTATGCAGACCTAGAGATTTTGATCCACAGATGGCACATAGGATTGAACATCTATTGGCAAGATCTCGATGCTTAGCCAATATTTTCTTGGCTACAATGTTGAGTTAGCCGTTTTTAAAAATCGCCTCAAATCGAGCCGTTTAACAACACTAAAATTTTGCGTCAAGTTTTCAACTTTTGGCGATTTTGAAACTAAATGATCATAGGCTAAGCCCCGGAACACCATAATAACAGGAAGGAGATGTGGTAAACGAGAAATATATTCTTTAGAAAAAATGACGAAAAGAGCATTCGTTCATTTTAACACAAAGGCGAAAACATTCGAAATCGTATGCTTAATATATATAAATTTTTAAATAAAAAAAAAATCAAATCAAAGCTATACATGGTACGCAAATATGCCACCCATAGAATACCTTCTTACAACTTACGTTTCTACATTTGCAGTTTGTCGTTGTATTCGATAGTGTACAAGGTAAAAATGAAAATTGGGACACATTTTTATATTAAATGTCGTTAAACGGCTCGATTTAGCCATTTTGGTTAGAAATTTTAGATTTTTAACCAAAATAATATTATAGCGACCACAAATTTGAGCGTTTAAAAAAACGTAACGCGTCCCTTTGTTTAAATGTGAGGTTGCCCTTTTGATCAATATCCGATGTTTCTAAATATATTCCTTTTTTTCAGGATTATGAGTAAGTTATTTATTATTACATTTTATAGAGAATATTACAAACACGAAGAATAAAAAAAAAGTATACGTTTTTTTTCAAAATGGTTGCTTAACGCCAAACGGTAACTTTACCAATTTGCAAGAGGCCATTTTGAAAGGCATTAATGGCGCTCGCTACGCAGCCTTCGAAACTCTCACTTTGATGGCACTTATGCGAGTCTCGAGATTTCGCTAACAGATGTCCAAACTTAGCAAAATCTCCACAGCTGGCATAATCTTTTTATTATTTTTTTTTGGGGAAGGGGGTAAAATTTTGGGTTAGCCGTTAAAAATCATGCTGTTTAAGATTGCTACATTTTAATATAAAACTTTATTTTTTTATTCCACTTTTTTTAAATATAATTTTAGTTATTTATTTTGTAATACTCATTCTCGGCTCTATGCCAATCTATCTCCTAGCCACATTTTATAATGCGACAATTGAACACGTGACACAAGTGGCGCGTGATAAAGTGACTCCAAATCCAGTCAATATATCTCTTTAATGCCCCCTACCCCCTTCCTTTTTTTAAAATATAGTTTATATATATTTATTTTTTAATATTTTGTTTCTTCTTCCTATAATATAAGTTTTAATATATTTTTTAAATAAACTAAGTGAATATATGAAAATAAATAAAAATTGAAATAGAATAAAATAATAACAATGAAAAGGATTGATTTTAAAAGTATGGAAAAACAAGATGGACAATTTCTATAAAATTAAAATTTTTTTGAAACCATTTTTTAATTTAATACTTCGATTATCATTTTCTCGAATTTAATCCATTACCTAGGGCCAATTTAGGGTAGATCAGCTGTGGCTCTATTACGACGATTTAAGAGACCAGATGTTCGAAACTCACTTCGCCTTAGTTCACAGTCGTTTTTCTACCAATACCTTCCCTAGTTGGGAAAGGGCTCAACCATTAAGGTTTTTTTTTTAAAATGAAATTTACAATTACAGTTTTAAAAGTAAATATTTCCCGAAATAAAACTATTTTTTTTGAAAAAATATAGATACGTGTGCCACAACGGCGAGATAAACACCCTACGCGGTAACGTTAATTTCATGCGCGCCCGGGAGGGCATAATGAAAAGCCCGGTTTACGGTGACCAGCTATCCATGCTTTATCCGGTGGTCGAAGAGGGCGTATCGGATAGTGGGGCTCTCGATAACGCCTTGGAGTTTTTGATAATGGCTGGGGAAAGGAGCCTACCCGAGGTTTGCCTTCTTTCTTTCTTTCTTTCTTTCTTTCTTTCTTTCTTTCTTTCTTTCTTTCTTTCTTTCTTTCTTTCTTTCTTTCTTTCTTTCTTTCTTTCTTTCTTTCTTTCTTTCTTTCTTTTCTTTCTTTCTTTCTTTCTTTTCTTTCTCTTTTGGAAATGTTTCAACGATTAAATATAAATTTTTGAGTAGGCCTTATAAAAAGGATTTAATAAAAATAAGGGAAAATGTTTTGTCAAAGTGGCAACGGGTAGGAAGGAAAACAAAAATGAAATTTCTTCCCCCTTTTTACATGGCGCTAATATTTAACCGCTTATTATGTTCTGATAAGGCTATAACTAATCTGATCCCCGAGGCCCGCAAGCACAATTTCGACGAAGATTCCATTGAAGAAAATCTCAAAAACCAAATCCAGTCTACCTGCGAATCGCGGAGTTCCTCGATTAAGCAGCCCATATCCACCTTTTACAAGTGGGTGTCCAATTGGATGGAGCCCTGGGATGGACCTGCCCTCGTCTTATTCGGAGGGGACGGGCGGCACGTGGGAGCCGCATTAGACCGTAACGGCCTAAGACCTGCCAGGTATTACCTGACCTCAGATGGGATCCTGGTTCTGGCTAGCGAAGTTGGAGTCTTTGACGTCGAACAACAAGGTCGCAACGCGACAGGAGGGAGTTACATCGTGAAAAAGGTTTGCTAAAAAATTTTTTTTTTAAAAAAAAAATTAAAACCAAACCAAGCAACAAAAATAATCCGCTTTACAGACGCCTTCTGAAGAAAATACGCTGCGCATTTGGGCGCGAGCTGATATTTTTTTTTTCTTCAAACTTAAGCTATATTTAAAAAAGAAAAAAAAATCTTAGCTGGGATCATACTGCCTAAAAAAATATATGTCCAAAGCGGCTAAAAAAAAATTAGAGCGATTACCCAACGATGCTAGTTAGAAATAATTATTGCTACCCCATATGATAACCGATGAATATTCCTAGTCAATCAAGGGAATAATTAAGCTAAGTTTGTCTGTAATTAATATATTGCCTGGATTTAGAGTCACTTTATCACGCGTCATTTTATCATACGCCACTTGTGTCACGTATTCAAGTGTTGCGTGATAAAGTGTCGCTAGGCGATAGTCTGACATAAAGCCGAGAATGTAAATTACAAAATCAATGACTAAGATTATTCTTAAAAGGCGAAAAGATATTTAATTATTTGAATTTTTTTTAAAACCAATAAAAAAATAGGCAAATTTTAATTGGATCACTTGACAAGGTAAATATATTTACATTTACTATTTTTATTCGAAAATCTTCGTTTTTTTCAGGGCCGTTTGAAACCCGGTAAAATGATTCTCGTCGACACGCTTACCAAGGCCTTGATTGAAGATCAGGACATAAAACTACGCATCGCTATGTCGAAACCTTTTACCGGATGGCTGGCTCAAAAGGTTGACTTTATATATACATATGAAACTATACATGGCTATAAAACGACTTATCAGCGTTTTGTCAATGGAGTCATTACCACACATTTACGATAGTGCCCAAAGGAAGAAAGAAAGAATATAGGCATTATACTAAAATTTGAAGCGATCTACACTACTCAACAAATGATATTTTATTTTTATAACTGATATTTTTAAAATTTAGTAAATATTGCTTAACTTAACACTCTTTTCTATGGGTGTTATGATGAAGACAACGATGTTGTTGTACCACAAAAGCACCGTTTTAATTATTTGGAAAAACTTTCTGGCATATTAATTAGATCTCTTTCATCTTCTAGACAAGTTAGTCCCCCTTCCTCTCCCCATAATCCCTCATTCAAATTTGAACGAAGGAAAATCTCCGAAATTTTATAATTAAAATAAATTGTTACAGTGCCGTAAACTTTGCCTTAATAATGTAACGCTTTACTCTCCCCCCCCCCTCCCCCTCAAAGGAACTTTTCTTTTTACCTTACTCGTTTACAATCCAAAAAAATACAAAAGAAGAAACGCGTTTTATTATTTTTTTTTAATTCAGAAATAAAACATGGTAGAACTATTTATCCCCCCCCCCCCCCCCCCCAGTTATTTATGTATAAAATGATACATAATTATGAAGAATTAATACATCTTTATAAATTTTTGAAATAAAAATATAAAATTTCCATATAAAATATAAAAAAGAGTGTAAATTTTAAAAATATCGATGGCTCTAAAAAGAGCTTATAGTAAAAATGTACCTAAAAAACATGTATAATTATGTTTAAAAATTTCTAATTGTATTTTTAGGAAGATTGACTCGCGTTTTTCGTTTGTTATGTTAAAAATTTTACGTGCTAAAATTTTAAAAAATGAATGTGTTGATTGGGAGAAATTACCATTAGTTGAGATGACTATGGGTTGAAAAATAAAATTTAATATTGAGTATTTATTGATATTTTTATTTTCGCCATTAGTAAGAGGATTTGAATTAATTGATGAGGGAAAGGAAGAGACACAGGTAGCGTCCCAAATTAGGGATTTTCCATTTGACCATGGGATGCAGGTTAAACCGTCAGGTCTGAGACCATCTTGTAGAGAGAGGTTTGTTGGTTCTAGAATGTTAGGAATTTTAGTTTTATTGAGAGCGTTATGGATGATTTTATTTATTGCTTTATGCCGGAGGTGGCGACCTTGGCTATGGGAGCAGTTTAGGCCGTGTCTTGCATTTGGTTGTACGGGTAGGTTGCAAAGGTGGCAAGTGTGTGAATGTGTTAGCGAGCATCCTAGTCTAAATCCTATAATAACTCTCAGTTGGTCATTGGTTAAGAGATTATCAAGGGTTAAGCTAGGAAGTGCCTCGAGCCATTCATATCCGCCATATTTATCGTTTAATTGAAGGAGTTGAAATATCGCTGATATCGGAGGGGTTAAGACTATTTTGAAGTTTCTTTATAAGAGGTTCCAAGATTGATTTATTAGAAATTTCGGTTTGGAATGTTTGACCGTCTGGGGTTAGTAGATTCCATTTTTCGATTGCTACTGTTAAGAGATCGTCATTGGGAGTTATAAAAGATGAGATCGCGAAATTGAGCGAAAGGCGATTAGAGATAAAAAGAGATAGGGAGAGTAATTCTAAGGGGATCAGGTCGATACCGCCTAGTTTAGCGGGTAATTAAGCAAGGTGCCAATTGATAATGGAAGATTAAGGTCCTTTCCATTAAGGTCTTTAAGCGAATATTATGCTTGGTGAAAAATTCTGAGGAGGTGAATGAGGAGGATGAGTGGAAGAGGTGTGAGATTTTAGGTAATTATAGGCACTTTTTTAATAGATAAAAAAGTTGGTGCGATGGGATATGATTGATGAACTTTTCCAAGTTTTGCAACTCGAAGAAGGTTTTATCGATAGTTTTTTCCGAGATTTTATTATTTAGTAGTGGGGAGCCCAAGAGTTGGATATCTTCGATTTCGATAATATTGTAATCTTTAAATGAGTCTAGGGGAATCTCAGGGTTGAGTATGCAGATTTCTGTTTTGGTTTTGTTTAATTCTAGGCCTATTTTGGGGCATTCTCTTTCGAGGTGGAAGAGGGCTTTGCTTATTTGATGTTGGTTACCGCAGAGAGTGCCATCGTCTAGGTACCATAAATTAAGGTCTAGATCAAAATCAGATTTAAGATCTTTCATCATATTATGTATGGCTAAGCAGAAAAGTATAGGGCCTAGGAGGTCGTCCTGCTGAACACCCTCTTCTGAGTATATAACACAACCATTGAAAATGAGGGGAGTGCTATTGGTATAGCAAATGTCAACAATGCGCGAGTATTGGGGGAAATTATCGTAAAACGATTCGAGAGCCGAGGAACGAGATACTGTATTGAAGGCGTTTTTGAAATCAATTTTGCAAAGAACGGAGTTTAAAGGTGGATGTTGTAGGTAGATTCGGAGACAGTGGGAGGCTATATCTACGCCTCCTTGAATGGCTCGAGGCACTTCCTAGCCTAACCCTTGATAATCTCTTAACCAATGACCAACTGAGAGTTACCATAGGATTTAGACTAGGATGCTCGTTAACACATTCACACACTTGCCACCTTTGCAACCTACCCGTACAACCCAATGCAAGACACGGCCTAAACTGCTCCCGTAGCCAAGGTCGCCACCTCCGGCATAAAGCAATAAATAAAATCATCCATAACGCTCTCAATAAAGCTAAAATTCCTAACATTCTAGAACCAACAAACCTCTCTCTACAAGATGGTCTCAGACCTGACGGTTTAACCTGCATCCCATGGTCAAATGGGAAATCCCTAATTTGGGACGCTACCTGTGTCTCTTCCTTTCCCTCTTCAATTAATTCAAATCCTCTTACTAATGGTGAAAATAAAAAAATAAATAAATACTCAATATTAAATAATATTATGAATTGAAAAATGTAGTTTATTTTTTTCCTCCCAAAAATCCTACCTTCCGCCTCATCATGGCGCGGATGTGGCAACATCTTTTTAGCGGCTAATAAGCGGTCTAACAGGTTCCCCCGTGGTCTGGGTCTAGAATAGGATCACCGTCTCCTCGACCACCGAAAGGGGGTGATGTCAGGAAGGACATCCGATTGTAAAATAACCTTGCCACATAATTTCCTAATGATTAAATCAGACGGAAAATTGACCGACCCGGAAATCGCCATTAAACGGAGAAGAAGAAGAAGATAATTATATTTTTACGATACATTTTTAAGCATTAATTGTTTAACATATTTGTTGTTCAAAATTTTAATCAGATGAACAAGGACGTTTAGGTTCTGTCCTGGTTTCGACTTAATTTTGATACTTAATTGCTTTTTTAGTTTTTAGGCTAAAAAAAAGCTTTTGAACTTAGGACACCCTATTTTGAATAGCATTGTTATTTTTCGTATTTCTCTTCTTTATAAATTTAAATGAAAATTATGATTTAGATTTATATTCTTTCGATTTGATTCTGAAAACCTGGGCTAAAAAAAAATTAATATATAATATATATATAATTAAATTATTAAACTGAATTCTTTCCATGTCTTAACTGTAATAAGGGTAAATTCGTTACTTACATCCTTACTTTTCCAAATATAATAACGAATAGCGTTACTCCTCCCCTTAAAAAAGTTACTTTTAACAACGCTGCTTTACAGCGCTGGTTAATTATTATTGATTTTAGGGTAAATATTATTCAAAAGGGAGGAGGGGGGAAGTAATTTATACCCTCCATTACTGACATGATTTAAAAAAAAATAAAATTAGGATATAATAACCAAGGATGTTATATAAACGACTAATTAACGATTCGTTCATTAAATTTATTTAAAAGTATCCATACAAAGGAGTCAGCTGTTATCGCCATTTTATGGTTTGCACGTTGATCAAATCATATTGATGCGCATTCTTATATATTTATTTTCGGCTCAAACCAGATTTTTCGAAATTAAAAATTTTTTTATATAACAGACGATAAAATTAAAAGACCTGTACACGGCCCATTACGCGATGATCGAAAACGGGGAACTTCCCCCAAAGTCCCCGGCTAGGCGTGCCAACGGATACGTCGCGGATAAATCTTGCGGGGACGTCATTCCTGCCATAAAGGATGAATCGGATGCTAAGGTGCTTTTTAATTATTATTATTTTTTAAATTGATTTTGGCGCCTTCCTTCATAAATACTACTCTTTTTTTTTGATGAATATATTGAGTAATGAACTGCGTAGAGTTTTATTTCCCTATTTTAAGAAAGAAAGAAAAGAAAAGGAAGGAAGAAGGAAGGAAGGAATTAAAAAAAAGGAAGGAAAGTGAAAGAAAGCAAGAATACAAGAATGCGACTGACATTCCCTAATTTTAAAAATAATTGTCAGAATTATCCCATCTTTAGACATGTACCGCAAGCTTATTGCCAACAGCGGTTTCATGGTCAATTTACACCTTGGTTGGGATTAATTTTTGTGACCAGGAAATTTAAGGAAGATATGGAGAATTTTAATATAATTAAAGATAGAAAGTTGCATTATATGTTATAGGGCTGTGCCGCTCCATAATTTTTTTTTTACCAATCCGATCCGATATTACCATAAAAACCTATCCGAAACTTATATTTACCGCCTATCTTCGAACCAGTGTCATGAGAGGATCGAATAATCATTTTTACATGATTTGAGTGTATTTCGGTTTTTTACATTCCAATATATGGGCGAGGTTCACAGCTGAAAGTAGTTTTGTTGAACGGCTCGAAGCCGATATTTAATAATCTAGCCAAAATACCATTATCTAAGCCTCAAAAATTTTTTTTAAAAATGGATACGCAATCTGTCATCTGTGAGCAAAATATCCGAACCTCGGCTAATTTTATTTTGACGAAAGTCCTGAGCTAGTCCGTTTTCACCACATTAACCAAATTTATTTTCTTTTGTTTCAGATACATAACAAAAAATAAAATAAAAAAGAACCCGAATTTTTCTGACGATGCATTCATTAAAAGGTGTGCATCAATGAATAACAGCTGGGGACGCCATTTTGGTTACCCGTAATCATTATTCAAAAATTTTTCGAACGAGAGGCCAATTGATTCCTATATCCGACGCAAATTTTATTAAAGAATTGCCCGATCATCGAGATAATGAGGAAGCGAGTTATCAATTATAATAGTAGTTTTTTTAACATGAGAATAATTACTATACGGGTTACCAAAATGGCGGGTCCAGCTGATTTGCTTTCAACGACGCGTTCAACGACGCTTTCAAATAAATTATTATTCGCCAGTCTAGTTATTATTATATGTCATTGATACAATCATAAAATAACCCCAAAAAATATCGGATCGGGTTTTTAAAGTATCGTTCCGATCCTATAATTTAATATCGGCACAGCCCTATTATATTTGATAATTTTCCTATCTATTTTGTTTATTTATTTTGAATCATTCTCATGTTATTTGGCACCTGTAAAAAACATGAAAGATATCATCCAATGACTTGTCCGGAAATGACGGTAAAATGCCCCGAGACGGAATTTTGCACGATAGACGCTTGCCCATATTTGGTTTCACGGCGGAGACGGTTAATATGCTGGTCTTACCCATGATAAAACAAAAGTTTTTTTTTTAATAAAAAAATATTATCAGCTGTTTTTTCTTTTTACTTTTAACGAAATCGCCATTTTTTTAAAAAATGAAGAAAATTTTGTTGTCGCGATTCGCGTATTCAGCTGATTCTTTCTAATCCATAATCACCTGTTATTCGCCATTTAAATCATTGATATGGAGGATATAATAGTTATCAAATGAGTAAATGAATATTTAATTTATAACGTATCGTCGTCTGAGATTCAGGTTATTCGGCACAAATCCATTTTGAAGTCAAAAAATGACCTCATTTTTTTAAAACATGAAATCAATTTTTTTTTATAATTTATTTTTCTGGATAAAATATTAAGTTAGCCGTTTTTAAAAATCAGCTCCAATTGAGCCGTTTAACAACGCTAATCCTGACTCCAAGCTTTATTGAGAGGATAATACACCGTACAAGAAACTCACAATCATCCGCCTAGTGTTGTTAAACGGCTCGTTTTTAGTCGATTTTTAAAAACCGATAACTCAATATTTCACCCAGAAAAATATTACTCAAGTCTGAAGATTTTGCTCGTAGAAGGAACGAAGGTCTTATACATATATTATCGTAATCTCGAGGCTTGGGCAATATTTTTTCTGGTTAAAATATTGTGTTAGCCGTTTTTAAAAATCGGCTCAAAGCGAGCCGTTTAACAACGCTACTACATCCGCCACCGTACTCAACCTTTTTCGGCGCCGAATTATTTCCACCCTACGAATATGCTATTACCGAGAAAGACGGGATTTCATTATTGTGGCGAGATGATAAAATTAAACAATTTGATCGTTTAAAATACAGTTTTATGTTTTTCGTAAAAAAATTTTTCGATATTAGACTTTTAAAAATACCAACAGTTTTTTAAAAAAAAAAAATATTATAATATATTAAGATGATCGAGCGAATTTTAATATTCTCGACCACGTGCGGTGCGGTTTATCGACCGTACTTTTAAAATGTGCACCACCCCTTTTCCATCAACTTTATACCCTTCGCGGGGTAAAAAATAAGACGGTTTTCACCCTTAGTTTACATATCGATGACCGGTAAAATCGAAGTGAGGATTACAAGCGAATTTTTTTGAAATTATTCTATCGTATGTAACGACTTCTCCGTTCATCATCATCACCTCCTTGTTAGTCGAACAATCTTTAACTCAGTTAAATTCTGTTGCTATTTAAGTCCTTAAAAAATGATAAAAATATTCGATGCGTTTTAAATTGTTCATCTTTGATCAATTTTTCTTTTTTCTTACATATTTATAAATATCCATCTCGGTCGGAAGATAAGAAGATGTCGGTAATGAGTCGAAGCTACGGAGCAATCCTTCTACGGCATTATTCGTATTGCCTTCTCCGTTCAGGGTGCAATCGTAACTATTCCACCAGGGAATGGGATGAATCGGGGTAAATCTTTCTCTCCCACAAGATTTTCCTTTATGATATACATATATATATATGTATTTTCCACATAATCAATAATCGGCCGAAAAATGTCATTTGTTTGAAAAAAAAACGTTTATTACGTCGGTTTCTGGCACGTAAGCCAAACATACCATCATTTTTAAAAAAATAAATAATATAAACAAAATTTTGTGGATTTAGTTTTTACGTGGCACGATGATATTTCTGGGAATACTTTTTTTGTATTTTTTTCTCCCCAAAAAAAACTCTGACCAAAATGAGATAAAACATTCTCTTCGTTTCGTTGACGCGAAGATCGATTCGAATGCATTGATTGCCGACAACTCGAAATTGGTCTTTAAAAATCGGGAGAGATAGTTACATACGATCAAATAATTTCAAAAAAAAACTCGCTTGTAATACTCACTCCTTTTTACCGGTCATCAATATGTAAACTAGGGGGGAAAACCGTTTTATTTTTATTTTTTACCCCGTTAAGGGTAATAAAGTTGATGAAAAAGAGGTGGCGCGCATTTTAAAAGTACCATCGGCGAACCGCATCGCAACGTGAAAGGAGATAAATTCAAGATTTTCTTTCAGTCGAGAACGTTAAAAATTTTCGCTAGTTTATCTTAAATATATTAATAACATAAATTTAATTGTAGTATTTTTGAAAGTTTAATAGACGAAATTTTTGGACTTTGGGTATGAAAATGTAAACTAGATTTTAAACGATCAAATCGTTTAATTTTACCAACATCATCCACGAATAATAAAATTATCGTCTTTCTCGGTAATAGTGTATTCGTAGGGTAGAAATAAATCGGCCAATTTGCCTAGAATCTTTTTTTTATTATAAGCCCTTAAGCTCTATTTTCAAAAAAAAGAAATGTTTTTAGACCCAAGCACGACTTTAACTTAATTTTCAAGGTTGTAATTTTCATCAAACTCCATTTCCCGATATTGCAACTCATGTGATTCATTTAAGATAATACATTCGCGATGTCACTTCCGCGGTATAATATTCGCGCTAATGCATTCTCTATAATGCATTCGCTATAATATTATTTCACGGTAATCGACATTCGCGATAATACATTTCGCGCCAAAATTTTAGCGGTTTTGGATATGTAACCATTTTGGAGATCCCACATGGATTCTATATTCCAATATAAAACGCCATATTGTTACTTTTAACTAGTTAAACAAAAATAGGTATAGTTTGTATTCCAGAGTTAGTGTCGTTAAACGGCTCGATATCTGTCAATTTTTTTAAAACGGCCCGAATAGAAGATTTTGCTCATCGGTTTGGACTTCTATTTACCAAATCTCGAGGCTTAGATAATACGATTTTGGAAATCTTAATCACCGTTCAACAACACTAGTCAGCAACCACGGGCTTAAACCTTTAAATTCAGCTTCAGCACCACGACCTTAAACCTCTTAATTCAACCTGTGGTTAGCACCACGACCTTAAACCTTTACTGTAGTTGGCACACGACCTTAAACATTTAAATTCAGCCTGTAGTCAGCACCACGACCTTAAACTTCTCAATTCAGCTCAGCCTATACTTAAAATAAATTATTTTTTCATAATTCGCTTTCGAATCCGCTTTTGAGTTGAAAAGAAAATGGAAGGAGAGTTATAAGAAAATATTAATAAAAAAAAACTACGAAAAGGAAAGAAGCCCTGGGTTCGATGGGAAACGACACCCCGCTGGCGTGCCTCTCCGAGTACTCCCCCGCGGTTTTCGATTATTTCAAGCAGATGTTCGCGCAAGTCACCAACCCGGCCATAGATCCATTTCGGGAGAAGAACGTTATGAGCTTGAGTTGTTGGGTTGGACCGGCAACCGACCCTTTATCGACTTACACCGCTAACGGTTTTTAAACATTTTTCTTTCACAGAAAAAACATATGTGCTTCAGTTTATTTAACCTTTATTCTATAATAGTTTAGCTGCCAAGAGAAAGGAACGCATACTTCTATCCTTCGTCATTTTTTTATGATAATGTAGTTAGTTAAATCGGGCAGGGCTCCTAAACCTACTGATCATCCTACCCCCTTCCAAATATCTTTAGACTAACTCTACCTCCCCCCCTTCCACTCATATATATTTTCCTCGGGTATAAATAAATGACGGGGTTTTCTCTGATTCCAACAAATTGTTTAATTTTTTAATAAGAAAGAATAAATGATTGTGACCTAAATGAATTTATCTACAAAAAAAAATTATTCTTTTTTTTTTGCGCGATAGAATATCCGACGAAATTAGGCGAATATAAGCAGCCGAGGATTTACTTGGAACAACCAGTTTTATCGTGCGACGACATGGAAGTCATTAAAGCCACTCGTTACCGTGGGCTTAAGGTATTTAATTTTTTTGGGGGTGTAATTAGGCCTGACGTGATAATAACGAATGCGTATAATATTGAACTTTATTTTAAGGGATGGATTGGGGAAGAGGGGGAGGGGTAGCAGGGGTTTATTACCTCTCCAAGTGGTTAAGTTATGTAACTAGTTGATACAGATTGCGATGTAATATGATAGAATTTGGCAAAGATCCACCTATCTTATAATGTTATCTATGTTATTGCGACAACTATTTATCTAATTTTTTTCTCCACCTTTTACTTTCTCGTTTTTTCAGACTAAGGTGATAGACCTAGTCTTCCCCTTATCCCAAGGCGTGGACGGGCTCGAAGCCGGCATTGACCGGGTTTGCACTGAAGCGGCTATAGCTGTCGAAAGCGGTTACTCTCTAGTTGTGCTATCCGATAGATTCGAATTGGTTCCGGAAGGAGTGCCCATACCGGCTTTGATGGCCCTGGGAGCCGTGCACCATTTTTTGCTTTCCAAGAAACTTAGACTCAAGACGGGTCTGATAGTAGAAACCGGAGCTATAAGGTTTGGAAATGAAAGCCTTCAGAATTAGGGGAGATTTAAGCTGACAGTAATAAGGAGATTTTCACGGTTTGTGAATATTTGCCGCTAAATTTTAATTACCCCTTTTTTAAACCCCAGACAAGTGGCCCATATATGCCTTTTACTAGGCTACGGGGCGGACGCGGTGTGCCCTTACCTCGTGTACGAACTCGTGGCTGGACTGAGGGACGAGAACTTGTTGTTTGCCCCGGACGAAGAGGTGTCGTTCTACGACGACCGACGAATTTTCGAAAACTTTCGTGACGCCGCCGAAAAGGGCATAAGCAAGGTAATGGCCAAGATGGGCATCTCTACGCTCCACAGCTACAAGGTAAGCGATTATACATATTATATAAATATCTCTCTATATTTCCGATTTTTTCTAGAAGTAATGTTCTTACTATAAGTATCCTACTTTTTTAAATACGATTTGAACTGAATAATAAATATAATTGAAGGAGTTAATCTTGGTATACTCCAATCAGGTGAAAGGTTCAGGAGTTAATCTTGGTATACTCCAATCAGGTGAAAGGATCAGGAGTTAATCTTGGTATACTCCAATCAGGTGAAAGGTTCAGGAGTTAATCTTGGTATACTCCAATCAGGTGAAAGGATCAGGAGTTAATCTTGGTATACTCCAATCAGGTGAAAGGTTCAGGAGTTAATCTTGGTATACTCCAATCAGGTGAAAGGTTCAGGAGTTAATCTTGGTATACTCCAATCAGGTGAAAGGATCCGGGTTCAGGTTTTGGTTAACGCAATATTGACTCGTTATTATTAAGATGAATATTTATTTTATTTATTTATTTTTATTCTTTTCTTTACCCTACCCCATTTATAATTCATAATTTACTAAGCAAAATAAAAAAATAGAATTTTTATAATTTAATTTTTGAATGTTTTATTCAATCCAACAATCAAGACGTCATCCAAAATATTTCTCTTTAAGATTTCCGCGCGAAATCTGGTAATAAGCAGTTCGAGGAACATAATTACCCCGTATTTTTAAATTTAAATTTGAATATCTAGTAAAAATCGTATTTTTTTTTACTTAAATTGATATAAAAATAAGGTAAAATGAAGGTTTACTAAAAATTTTGAAAATGGCCAATGAAAATGAATGATCACGTGGGAAAAATCTCTTTTTATTTATTTTATTTTAAGAAATTTGTAAAAAAAAATTTTTTTTTTGTATAACTTGAAAACCCTCAACTTTTGAAAAGGGGGTTCGGGATGAGCAAATGCTAAAAAATAATTCATTAAACATGTCAATCAATTTACAGGGTGCTCAAATCTTCGAAGCCGTGGGTCTAGGTCCCTCGATAATCGAAAAATGTTTCAAAGGTACCCCGTCTCGTTTGGGAGGGATCACCTTTCAACTCCTAGCTTCGGAACTGCTGGCCCATCAATTCGAGGCGCTGGGCTCGAGGCATTGCGATAATCAGCTGTTGCTAGATCCCGGATTTTACCATTGGCGCGAAGGGGGCGAGAAGCACTCCAATTCGCCAGCCGTCGTCGCTAACCTGCAAAGGTATTTTTTTTAAAAAAAATTATTCGATTCGACCGTTCCCCAATTTCATCTTAGCCTTTCCGGGAATCATTTGCAACTTTATCAGCGTTCATTCATTAATAGCGTCTGATTGAAAGTTTTTATAGAAGGCAAATACGATAATAACGACAACTCTTAAAAGATAAATGAACAAATGTCATTAATATGTTTGCCGGTATTTAATTAATTTGAAAGGATTATCCCTCTTTATTTCCGAAGTAGCGGGGCTTCATTTACCTGTGTAAGAGCATCAGTTCGGGATGAAATGGCCTGGACTGTTTTAAAAGGGACTAATTTTTATGCTTATCTTCGTTTTATTTTTTTCAAATATTTGTCTGTCTTGTTTATTGAATAAAGTGCCTTTTAATTTTTGAGTATTTTAAAGTTTTAGACTAAGAGAGATTCAACTGTCCCAGCTGTTTCACCCGTTAACTGATGCTCTTCCACCGTTAAATGAAGCCCCCACTACTTCAGTAATTTAATCTTTAACCCTTAGGGCAAAATGTAAATAATCTTTAAGACAATTATTTTAACGATCTCTGTCATTAAAATAAATATTTTATTGTTGATGTAGAGCCTCTAAGACCAGAGATCTTACTGCTTACGCCGCTTTCAGCGAGGCTAGCACAGAGGCCAGCGCCAAAATAACTTTAAGAGGTCAATTGGCGTTCGATTTCGAAGAAATGGAAGGTATGGACGCGGCAAAAATTGGGGGGATAGTTCCCTTGAAAGGAACAGGTTAAAATATGTTTGTATTTAGTCTTTTTAAGAAATAAAAAGAAAGGGAAAATATGATTGACTTGAAAGAATAATTAACATTTGTACAAATTGTATCGCCAACAGTCGAATTGATAAACGGTACCTCGCCAATGAACGGTCACGACAATGACGGCCCGTCGGTCATACCGGGTTCTATCGATATCGATATGGTCGAGGATTCTGCTTGCATCGTTAAAAGGTCTTATTTACACCAACGCGTTTACGCGTTTTTGTCCTATTAAAAATTGTCGTTAAAGTTTTTTTAAAAAAATTAATATCGCGCAAAGTTGTAACCCCACCAAAGTCGATTTCCGGAACAAATCTAAATAAAAAGCTAGCTTAGATCCGCTGCCACGGTCCCAAACTTTGCTAAAACATGGTCGGCTAACCGTGGAGCGGTCCTAACCGGTCCCGCAATTATTCGGGGAAAAATACGCGAAATATTTGGGTTTATAAATCTCGGAAAAAGGACAACTTTGCGCCGATATATTGGAACCCCAAATCTTTTGATATACATTCTTTACTCTTATGCTTCGCATCATTTATTACCGCCATCTAGATTTTGCACTGGCGCAATGTCATTAGGTTCTATATCCAGCGAAGCCCATCGAACTCTGGCTCGAGCCATGAACACTATGGGGGGTAAATCGAACACTGGAGAAGGTGGGGAGGATCCGTCCCGATATGAACAAGGTAAGTGTAGGCGTTTGCCCTTACAATCTCTTTTTGGTTTTTGTTTCCATGGCATACCTATAATAAACAGAGGATAAAGTTTGTATATTCCGTAAATAATAATAATGTCACATTGCCTATTTAGGGGGGGGGGGGGCTACTATAAGATGGAGCCCATCGAAGCCCCCCCCCCCTCAAAATCTTCAAAAATGCAGATATTGATTTAATGACGCCCTTACACGAGACGTCAGTTATAGGTGATAAATGTAAGGTGGGTGGAAGGGCCAGACCTAAAAATGATGGTTATAATCGGTAGGAGATAATCAAAGATCTGTGAGCTTTATAATAAAGAGATTAAACAGTTACGTATAAGAAGTGAGTTGTCTTAAAGATTCCACAATTACGGAACCAGATAGACCCATCATTATGATAAAAAAATATTAAAAAAAAAATATATCCTCAAAAGGAAATTTGGAAAGATCATCTATTAAACAGGTCGCCTCTGGACGGTTCGGGGTCACTTCGACCTATCTAACTAACGCGGACGTGTTGCAGATCAAAATCGCCCAAGGTGCCAAGCCGGGGGAGGGAGGCGAACTTCCGGGCTATAAAGTTCGCATTCTACTATATATTTTTGTTAGTAATGGCAAATCGTTACCAATTACACTTGTATTGTAATGTACAGGTAACTCACGAGATAGCTAGAACGCGGCATTCCATCCCTGGCGTAGGTCTCATATCGCCGCCTCCTCACCACGATATATACTCGGTCGAAGATTTAGCGGAACTGATCTACGACCTCAAATCGGCTAGTCCTTCCGCTAAGATCAGCGTTAAACTGGTATCGCAAGTCGGGGTCGGGGTAGTGGCGGCTGGAGTGGCCAAGGTATTTTACGCATAATAATGTTTACAATCAAATTTTTTTTAAAAAGTAACAGAATATATATGAAGGGATTTTCTCGTCTTAGTTTTATTAAAATGAATTCTTTTTACTAACCAGTGCAAAGCGGAACACATAACGATTTCCGGTCACGACGGGGGCACCGGTGCCAGTTCTTGGACCGGTATCAAGCACGCCGGTCTTCCTTGGGAGTTGGGCTTGGCTGAAGCCCACCAGACCCTCTTGCTCAATAATTTGAGGTCCAGAGTTATCCTTCAAACAGACGGTCAAATTAGGACAGGTAAATATTGCATTTTGAGTTTTTAAAAATACTATATTTTTATTCAAACTTTACATTGTTCATCCTTTAAATACAAGGGGTGGGAATTTGATCGAGGGGGGGGGGGGGTTGTAGGTGAAATTTATAAAAGAAGGACTTATTTTACGAGGCCATTCTTTAAACGTCCTTTTGCGGTCTAATATTTGTTGTTACACAATCAGTTAAATATTTTTTTCTAGAAGGGTGTATACCTTGTATTCTTCATTTGCGCGAATATTTTTTTTCTCCAAAAGGTCGAGATGTTGTAATGGCGGCGTTGCTAGGCGCCGACGAGGTAGCCTTCAGCACGGCCCCACTCATCACCCTGGGGTGTACCATGATGCGCAAATGCCACCTCAACACTTGCCCTGTCGGAATAGCTACCCAGGATCCTGACTTGAGAAAAAAATTCGCCGGAAAACCCGAATACGTCATCAATTACTTGTTTATGATCGCTGAAGAGGTTTATTATTTAATCACATTTTTTTTTCCTTTAGGAACGTTGATTTTATTTTTAAAAATTATTTATCCTTATAACTTCAGTTTTAATGCCATAAAATTATTGTTTTTTTTTAACCAATCAAGGCCAGGGAATACATGGCCAAGCTCGGCTTCCGAACTTTCGAGGAGATGGTAGGCCACAGCGAGAAATTGGTCGTCAAACGTCACCCCATAAACCAAAAGGTTGCCTCTCTCAACCTTAGGGCCATACTCGACCAAGTCGTGCCGCCCAAGATGCTGCCGCTTCATAAGGGCGGAACCGTGGCTCAAGAGTTTAGGCTCGATGCCAAATTGGTTAGATCTTTCTTTACAAAATGATTTTGCTTTTCCTTGTGATGTTTAAAGATAATTTTTTTTTTCAAATATAAAAACGGGTGGCGAGGGGCAGAACAAATTACACGCTTATTTAGGATCACGTGATTAACGAAATTTATAAGTTGTCCTAGTATGTTATATTAAAAACGTATATTCCCATTTAATTTTGTTAAACGTCAATCAGATGGATTGCATACATCTGATTGGGTGGAAAAATTGTTATTATTATGTGTAAAGAAAAATAATATTTATTATAATATATATTTTTTTCGATATATATTTTGGATTATATTTATTCATTGGTTTATTAAAATAAAGTGAATAAAATATATTCTTTCTATGATACTTTTTACGATACTTCCAAAGTTATATTTGGGATTATTAAAATAAAGTGAATAAAATATATTCTATTCCCATTTAATTTTGTTAAACGTCAATCAGATGGATTGTATACATCTGATTGAGGGAAAAATTATTATTATTATATGTAAAGAAAAATAATATTTATTATAATATATATTTTTTTCGATATATTTTGGATTATATTTATTCATTGGATTATTAAAATAAAGTGAATAAAATATATTCTTTCTATGATACTTTTTACGATACTTCCAAAGTTATATTTGGGATTATTAAAATAAAGTGAATAAAATATATTCTATTCCCATTTAATTTTGTTAAACGTCAATCAGATGGATTGTATACATCTGATTGAGGGAAAAATTATTATTATTATATGTAAAGAAAAATAATATTTATTATAATATATATTTTTTTCGATATATATTTTGGATTATATTTATTCATTGTTTATTAAAATAAAGTGAATAAAATATATTCTTTCTATGATACTTTATACGATACTTCTAAAGTTATATATTCTTTCTACGATTCTTTTTTACGATACTTCCAAAATAAGAAAAAAAGTTAATTTTCTTTATTAAGATAAACTCTTATTTAACAAAATTAGCTTCTGAATTATAAAATTATTACGAAAAAATTATTTCAACTAAATATTGGTTATTAGATTATGTTTTAATATGATCGCGTTATATCGAAAAATTCGCGAATAATAATTGGTTTTAGGCCTTTTTAAAAAAAAACGAGTAACCAATCAAATAGTGCATTATTCGTTTTCTTTCAAATTCCTATTGGCTTAGTGTTGTTGAACAGCTCCATTTCAAATAACGGGCAACCAAATATGTTAGCAAAAAAATATTACGCTAGCCTCGCAATTTTTGTTTAATAGATGTCCAAACCGTTCTGGCCATTTATGAACAAAATTTCCAGGCTTGCGCCTTAATTTTGGCTAAAATATCGGGTTAGCCGGTTTTGAAAATCGATCGGTTTAACCGCTTTGCACGAATAGTAAAATTTAACATTGCGACTCGACTTATTACGAATAATTAGTTTTTTTAAAGAATGTTATTTAATAATCCATTATTTATTGATAATTAACATGGGATCACGTGATTAACGAAATTAAAAAAATGCATATTAATTTAATTTATGATGACGAGCCAATTTTTTTTAAAAGCAAAGTGTTTTGTTTCTTCTTTATGAGACATTGGTTCCAACGAAAAGCCTTTATAATCAGCTGATGCTACTTTGATAATCACGTCACCTGCCAGATTGATCGCTTGTCAATAGATATGACAAACGATTAAATAAATTTTTTTTTAAAAAAACCCATATATTATTTCGAATAATTAGAATATTCGAAATTAAACGAACTATTTTTTTTTTAAAAAAAAATAATTTGAGTTTTCGTAAATTATAGATCAATTTTTTTTGTATAAATATTTAAGGAAAACACGGTCATGAAACGAGTGCTAGAACATGTGGACTCCATTCCTCTTTCGCTCACCCATACGTTATCGGTGGAACAATTGCCTAAATCGAAACAACTGCTCTTGACGTTAAAGATAGCCAATACCGATAGGGCATTCGGCGCCCTATTGAGTCACGTGATCAGTAAAAGATTCGGAGAATCGGGACTTCCGCCCAGTTATCCAATTAAGGTTGAGCTAACGGGATTCGCCGGTCAAAGCTTTGGCGCCTTTTTAGCTCCCGGTTTAACCTTGAGGCTGGAGGGTGACGCGAACGACTACGTGGGAAAGGTAAAATGCGCTTGATTAGATATTTTTTTGTACACTTGTCCAGGGGTTCGCATGAGACCGAGATTCTTGGCATTAAGGACAGCTTCAAGCCATTCATGGCCCGAGTTTTGTCCCAAGTATTTGAGGATTGGAGTGTCTTCAAGTGAAGTGTTAGTTAGCCAGTAGGGGGTTTAAGAATGTCTCTTTTTGCTGGGGACTTGTAAAGGATAAAAGGCATAAATTTTTCTTCGATATATTTTATACAGTTTAAACTCCTTATTTTAGCCAGAAAAAAAATATTATCTAGGCCTCGAGATTTCGTTTAATAGATGTTCAAAACCTTTGTGCCATCTTACGAGCAAAATGTACGGGCCTCGCGTAATATTTTTTCCTAATAAAATATTGAGTTAGCCATTTTTAAAAATAGGATCAAAATGAGTCGTTTAATGCCGTTGCGCACAAGCTATAATGAATATAAATATATAATTTCTATTCACCATTTTTTTTTCATCCATCCATTTTGTTTAAAGTTTGCTTGTTTTATCCTCCCAAACCACTTTGCAATTTATACTTTTTTGTTTTTTTAAGCGAATAAATGATTAAATTTCAAAAATATTCATATAATATAGATATATAGATATGTATGTTTTATTGATTTTAAAGTCTTCGAGTCATTGAATGTGAATGACGTTTTATAAATTCTATTTAATGACAGGCTTCCAATTCCTATCTTTTCGTTTTTAAAAAAAATTTATAGTTGAAGGAGGAGAGGGTAGGGTGGTCGTATTTATGAAAGATTATGTGTTCTCAAAAATTTGTTTTAACGATTTAAAATTTTCCCTTTATTTATATTGCAAGGAGTTTGCTAACGACGGAATATATTCTTAAAAAATCCTGGAGAAGGTTTTATTAACAGAGGAAGGGAGAAGTCGAGGGCAAAATTCCCTACGATAATACGCAAATATGGACCAAACTAGATGTTCGGGTTACCCCCGATCACGTGGGCAAAAATTTAGGGTAGCGTTGTTTAGCGGCTCGATTTTGAGTTTTTTAAAAAATGGCGAACTAAATATTTTATCCGGAAAAAAATATTACGCGGGGCCCGAAGATTTTGCTTGTTAGATGGCACAAAGGTTTAGGCGCCTACTGGCGATCTAGCGAAAATATTGGTAATAGCCCCTTTTTTTGTCAGCCCAAATCAAGCACGTTTAACAATACTAGTTTTTGAAGACACGCGTTTTGGATTATTTAGTTTGTACAGATTTGCAGTACAAACCGATTCTAGTGGTTTATCCCAACTGTCTTTTAACGGGAAAGCCTTAAAAATATATTTAAAAAAAAGTACGGTACCATTTATTTATTTTTTATGACGTATATCTTTTACCATTTCACGTCAATTACCAGGGCTTATCTGGCGGCGAGATAATAGTGTATCCCCCTCCTTCCCCCGCCACGTTCGCTTTCGATACCACCCAAAACATCTGCGTGGGGAACGCCTGCCTTTACGGGGCAGTCAGCGGGCGAGCATTTTTCAGGGGCCAGGCGGCCGAAAGATTTTGCGTTAGGAATAGTGGGGCTATTGCCGTTTGCGAAGGCGTGGGCGATCACGGGTGCGAGTACATGACCGGTAAAAATTATTTGTCAAAATAATTTAATTTGATATTATTTAGAAGAATATAAAAAAAATGAGGGAGAAATATTTATTTCTCTGCGCCCCATTTGTTGTAAGCGGCGCGATACGTTCAAGCGAGGCGAAATTAATCGCTAGCAAAATCAAGCTGATTTATCTATCGTCGCATCGCATCATGGAGTTTTTCGCACGATTTCATCATTTCTTTCAATATTTTTTATAAATTGTACATATTGTTGGCTTGATTGTGTAAATTATATAGCAAAAAATTTCACAACGCTTGAGCCAATCGCTCTCGCTATAATTATGGCGTTATTATGTGATCAACTCAATGATATGTAATACTATTTAGACTGACGTTATTATTTTTTTGATAGCAATGCAAATCAGCTGGTGACGCCATTTTGGCTTCCCATATATAAATTTTATATTCAAATGCTGTGAAAACTTTTAAACGGAAAATGCAAAACATTTTACATATTTATATAAAAAAATATTATACGAGAAATCAAAATGGCGTTACCAGCTGATTTGTATCCAAAGAAAACTTCAGGATGTATTTTAATGAATGAATATTCAGTCCACATATTTATATATAAAAAAATATATGAGAAATCAAAATGGCATTACCAGCTGATATGTATCCAACGAAAAAGGATGTATTTTAATCAGAGATCTGCAGAGGTACCAATTGTACGGCCCGCCTTTTTTTTAAAAAAAAATTTTCCTGCCTGGCCAGGTTTTTTTTTTTGATTTTTAGAGCTAATAATGGCGATTTCAAATATTTAATTTTTAAATAGGCCCGGCCCGGATATTTTTTTTAAAAAATTTTTTAGGCCCGGTCTGGGTAAATTTAAAAAAATGCTGGTCTCTGATTTTAATGAATGAATTGTTATTCAGTCCTTGATAAGTATTATAATGCCATTTAATCCACTAGGAATCCCAGTTTACCGTTTTTTTTAAAATATTAATTCTAAAATTTCGGATCTATCACTATATCTATTTAGTCCAGACTATGATTATATAGTCTGTAATACTATAGGTTATCTCATATATATATATTTTTTTCACAATCGCTAAGATAACGTCAAATGATTTTTTTAATTTTTAAAAGGTGGAAAAGCGGTCATTTTAGGGATTCCGGGTAGAAATTTCGCGGCCGGAATGTCGGGCGGCATAGCTTACGTTTACGATCCTACCCGTCGCAGGTTTCCCGCTAGGTGCAATATGGCGATGATCGACTTGGAATCTATTTACGGCGATTCTACCGCGAATGATGCCAAATTTAGCTCCGACGATCACAGCGAGGATTTGAAGTTTTTGCGGGACATTCTGGGGGACTTTATAGAAAAAACCGGATCAGAAATCGCGCGGGAAATATTGGAAGGTTGGCCCGCTTCGGCCGCCCATTTTTTCAAGGTTTTTTTCACACTGAAGTTTTATTTATATTTAAAAATTCGACTTTAGCGTTGTTAACGGCTCATTTTGAGCCGATGATTAAAAGCGGCTAACTCAGTATTTTATGCCAGAAAAAATATTTGGCAAGCCTGAAGATTTTGCTCATAGAGGGTACAAAAGTCTGGACATCTATTAACGAAAAGTGGGAGCATAAGCAATTTTTTTTTGGTCTTAAAGGGTTAGCCGTTTTTAAAAATAGGCTCAAAACGAGCCGTTTAACAACACCAATGGAGAGAAAACGACATAAATTTGCCCAATTATCAGCTTTAATAAAAAAAAAACATTTTTTCAAAACTCTGGTCTGGCACCTTAAAATTTTTTTTTTTACGGTTCGATCCTGGGCCGGGCTTCGGGCCGGATTATTTTATATATGTAAACCATAACCGTCTAATCACCTTTACCCTAAGCTCGTACTAGCGGTTAAGTACAGTAAAAAACCCGCCGGCGATCGAAACGGTGCGGCTTAGTCCACAGCTGTCATTCAAAGAATAAATCTTTTCAGCCTAGATTATCCAATCATTCTCATATTTAGGATAAAATATCATAATTCCATACTTTATTATCAATACGGACATTTTTGTTTTATAAAGGTGTTTCCCAAAGATTACAGGACAGCCCTAGAGGAGATAAATCAGAAGAACGCGCTCGAAAAGGCGGGGAAATCTCAACAAGATATCTTGAAAGGTACATTTTTGTTTTGTGATTTAAAAAAATAAATAAAATAAACGGTCTCATTTGGAAGGGTTACCCGGAAGATCCGAAACTAATCAGCTGATTCATTGAGGAGCTTGGTATTTTTTTATATATAAAAAGTTCTCGGTCGGACACGGGATTGGCTCGAACGGATCTGTCATTCATCCTTTCAAGAAATTAAACTTGAATTATTAAATTCATCGTGCCATATATGTATTCCTTTTTTTTTCGGAGACAAAATACCCCTTTTCAATCTAATTATGCGTAGTGTTGATAAAAATTGCTTATGAAATGTAACAAGTTACACTGTTCCTTCCGGTTATTTTTAAAATTAAATTAGTTACAGTTTTAAGTTTACTTTATAAATTATCTACATTACTCATTACTTTATATTATACAAAAACAATTGGCAACTAGGGTACTTTAACAACGCTCTTGATTAGTATCGAAAAAGGTATTATGGTTATAAAAAAACTTATGTCCCTGAAAAGGACATATCATAAATGAATTCTAAAAACTGAATAAAAATATTGACACCTGATAATCATCATTGCTAATTATCCCAGTAATCAATAATTATTAACAGTTATCTGGTATTCTGTAATGAGAGGATGTAACATAATTAAGTAGTAATTTTTTTTTAGTAAAGAAACGCAACAGTTTAATCTTATTTAATATACAAACATCTCTTCAAAACCAGAACTGAAACTCTACAAGCAAGAAAGTCTCCTGGAGAACAAACTGGACGATCCCTACGAGGACGAGATAGGAATCGGGGTGGAGGACATCGAAGATTCGGCCCTGGTATTTCCCAACGGAAGCGTTCATCCCGACGAGAATGGTACTCAGGATTCGGCTGCTTACAGGGAGCTTAAACGGTCCCCGATTATGAACGGTAAAAAATAAATAAATAAATGAGTTGTTTCTATTTTCGTTACTTGTTTACTGTCTACAATATTGGAATCGTCAAATCAACGCTACAATATTTTATACTATTCGATTCTTATATTATATGATAACACATACCCAAGATACTTTTCTAACAAATATAAAAAATTTGATACGCATGCGCATTCCCTATAGATCAATGGATCACCGAAACCAGCATTGTGCTTATATGCCTATTCTCCCCTTAAGAGCTCGCCCATGTGTTTTTTTTTACCTTCTTAATTTTAATGGAGATTTATTATGATAAATAAAGGATTTTGGCTTGATTGCTCATTGGCGTTAAATCGTAGAGGGGTGGAAGCGGGAATTATTCCCATAGCAAATTTAACCAATTTTCGCGAATTATCCTACAATCCCCACGCTCCCTCCACCTACCTTTCAAAAAAAATAATGAGTACAATACGTCATTATAAACAATATTTCCAAATGTATAAATAGTGACTATAATGGGAATATATTTTTAAGAATGTAATCCTGCCAAAGGTCTTCAAAGAGGAAGCCTAAAATACTGAAATTCTTTACACCCTTACGAAACTCTTGGAAACTCCAAGTGTTAGCAGTTGTTACAGCCAGCTTAAGTCAACATACTTCAAAGTTAGTGTTGTCAAAAAGCCCGACTTGGGGTTCATTTTAAGATTACAGCTAAAATAATATTATGTAAGCAATCGAGATTTGGCAAAATAGATGTCCCAAGCATTTTCTGCCATGTTATGAGCAAAATCTTTAGGCCCACATAATGTTATTTTGGTTATAATATTAATCGGATCGGGCCTTTTAACGACACTACTTCAAGTTGTTCGCTAAAATGAATAAGCCGCCCATAAATGGTGAGAATATTTGATTCGATTCAAGTATAATTCCTCCTACCCCTCACCCATCCTGGGTTCGAATCCCAGCAATGATCATATTTTTTTCATTCTTAATCTAGCTTTTTGATTCGGTCTTTCTCCCCCGTCCTCCAAAAAAAACGATATTTCAAATATATCTTAATGTCAAGAAATCAGCAGTTAGGGCGGAAACCGGGTATAAATTAAAGCTACACGGCTCGAGTCCGAATACCTATATTTTTTTAAAATAAATTCGATGCACATAATACCTAATAAAATCTTCTATATTTTTTTTTGCATTTGCCGAATCGATCAAAGGTAAAACTCATGTGGGAGTCGCCATTGAAAAGAAGGATGTTCCCGAGAAATTGGTTTTGGCGAACGGGGACTCGAATGGTCACACGACAAAACCCGAGGTCTTGGACAAAACTAGGTATATAATTTATGAGCGGGCAAATTGCGATGCCTTGTAGTGGATCAACATTTACATATTTAAACCTTATTTTTTTTTCAAGATTGTAAAGTTGCTAAGTAGGTGCATCATTCCTTGAAAGAAAGAAAGAGAAAGATGTTTATAATCCAAAGAAACTTACTGCCTTATTTGAAAATTTTGATTTTTATCACATTCTTCATTCCAAAATAAATATTTTTTAATTTAGGCCATGATTAATTTATTTTCTTGTAAGTCTATTTCTTAGTAAGAAAGTTAATTTCCGCTAACAAAATTTTTAAGAGTAAAGAAGTTATAGGGAAAAGAAATTTAAAACAGCTTTCTCATCAAATTAATATCGTTTTTTTGGTGGTGTTTATATTATTTAAAATTAAAAATATTTAGGCATTCAAATAAACCTTATGGTGTAGTCGTAATATTTTTCTTAAAAAAATTCATCGCTACCGGCCGATACATATGTAGCGACACAAAATCGTTCCGTTCGAGCCGACGGTGCGATTTTGCGTCACTCATGAGTTTAGGTTTATCTACCCATCTCCGGTTAAAAAGGCTTATTCAGAAATAAAATAATTTTTTTTCCATTTGAATAAAATTAAATATTAATTACCGCAAAATTGTTAATATTCAAATTTTTTTTGTTAACCCCCCCCCCCTTCCTCCGTCATCTACGATGATATTAAGAGGTTTCGTGAAATACAAACGTCACAAAAATCCGTACAGACCCGTGCAAGATAGGATGAAGGATTGGGGCGAAATTTACGACCACAAAAAAGTCAAGGAAACACTGAGAGTCCAGGCTGCCAGGTTAAAAAAATTAATATATACCCTTTTCGCCACTGGAAAGTTACGTTTTCAAAAATGAGAAGAAGAAAAATGAGAATGATCAGACAGGATTTTGGGGATCAAATCTTACCTAAAATTCCCCAAAACTTTTTTTTTGGTGATTTATCAAACCCCGATTATAATTTTTTATATATATATAATGATAATGATAGATGCATGGATTGCGGCGTGCCATTTTGTCAATCCAACAGTGGCTGCCCGCTCGGTAACATTATCCCGAAATGGAACGACCTGGTCTTCAAAAACAATTGGAGGGAGGCTCTCGAAACGTTGTTGCAAACGAACAATTTTCCCGAATTCACTGGCAGAGTATGTCCCGCCCCATGCGAAGTATAATTATATTCAAAACTGTCATTTTTTCTTACTTAATTTTCTAAAAGTTCTAAGGTTTATTCAATGACGTATTATTATAATACGTAGACCGACGATGAATTCATTCATAATTCATTTGAAAGCGTCGTTGAATGCGAATCAGCTGGACCCGCCATTTTGGTAACCCATGTAATAATTATTCTCACGGTTAAAAACTACTATTAAATTGATAAACTTGCTTACTTATTATCTCGATGATCAGGCAATTCTTTAGTTAAAGTTTGCGTCAGATATAGGAATAAATTGGCCCTCTCTTTTAAATTTTTTTTAACAATGATACGGGTAACCAAAATGGCGTCTCCAGCTGTTTTTTGGATGCATCGTCAGTCTAGGTATTATTATTATGTCAATGGTTTTATTATAAAACTTAATCTTCTAAGGTTGTTATTTATATTTTTGGTCATTTTGGGATTCTTAGATAAATAAGGTTAGTACCAACTTGTTCAACCTTCCATTTTTTGTTTTCTAATAAGTTTTGGAAGGGTATTTTGGATCTTATTTTTCTCAAGGGTTTGTTTATTATTAACTTTGGCCATTTTGAAGATTTTTCGGTAAAGGTAGGTTACCACTTAGGCCAACCTTTAAAAATTTTATTTATTTCCTTAAGAAGTTGTTATATAACTAAACTTATTTTGGAAGAAATTAATCCTCTGTATTTTATACTTGATCAATTCTATAAGGGTGCCTGTGTGCTGGGCATAAATGAACCACCGGTAAATATCAAAAACATCGAATGCGCCATCATAGATCACGCCTTTTCGCAGGGTTGGATCACCGTTACGCTACCCGCCGTTCGCACTGGTAAGCTTATAGCGATCGTGGGCGGAGGACCGGCGGCTCTGGCCGCCGCTGCCCAACTCAACAAGGTTTTGGGTCTATATGTAGCTTTGTTTTATTAATAAAATAAAAATGGTGTCATTCAGGAGAAAGTAAATTAACTATCTTTGAAAAAATTGTGAAAGTATATAAGATTTAAAGACTAATTTTTATAGTTTATTCTAAATTGAATAATGAGTAACGGTCAAAAAATTGGCCAAGAACCCGGAATCCGGTCTGGAGTGGACCGAGTTAAGCGCTATGATTTAAGAAAACCGGCCGAGCCTTAAAATTTGATCTTGACAGGAACCAAGTTGCAAGGAGGGGGCAAAGTTCTTATTTTTAGGAATTTAATAAAATTTAATTTTTTTTTTTTTAAAAAAAGGCCGGCCATTACGTCACAGTATACGAGCGTAACGATTCCGTCGGCGGTCTTTTGCGTTACGGGATACCGTCGATGAAGTTAGGCAAGAACGTGCTGCAGAGGAGAATAGACCTCCTGGCCAATGAGGGCGTCACTTTCAAAGTCAACCAGCCTATCGGAATGGGTGGAGCCGACCTTCCAAAGTCAACCGAGTTTTTGAAGGCCCATCACGCCGTTTTACTAGCCGTGGGGTCAACCCAACCCAGGGATTTGCCTATACCAGGTAACTTGATCACTTGATAAATTTTATCTAGCTCGTAACTAGAACGATTCCTAGTTCCTTCTTGATTTCTGAAATTGTTCGTCATCGAGTAAATTATACGCGCATGCGTAGTGCGAAATATTTAAACGATAAAAGGTGGCCAATGATTTAGTAACGCGAAATCGATTTTAAACCAATCATTTTTTAAAGATGCGAGGAATTGTTTTTAAATCTTTTTTTAAAAAGAAGGAATTTTAAGTCGGGCATAAATTGCCAATAGATTTTTTTTGTGATTCGTTTAAAATCGATTGACCACCTTATATCATTTAAATATTTCATACTACGCATGCGCGTATGCTAACACCATTAAAAAAAACCTTAGGAAATTATTCCACAACATATTTAATCGATAAAAAAAAGAATAATATTATGTAATTAATATCTAATTTTTTTTTTCACATTCAGGGCGCAACCTCCAAGGCATCCATTTTGCTATGGAATTCTTGGAAGGTTGGCAGAAACGGATCGCCAAACATTCCAACAACAACGTCATTACCGTAGAAGATTGCCAATTGTCCCAAAGCGGAAAATTAATGGTTCAAGGCAAAAACATTATAGTCATTGGCGGCGGCGACACTGGAGTCGATTGCATAGCCACTTCTCTCAGATTGGTTTGTCACAAAATCTTAGCACAAAAAATAAAAAATATATAGGGTGCAATTTTATTTCAATTTTTTTTACTTCGATGAAAGTAAAGATAGAAAATAGTTTTTTTGTATGTACTACCTTGAGAATGGTCAAAGTTCCTATCCACCAGAAAACCGATTTTAATATAATCATCGCCTATCAAGTTGGGTCCAATGACATATAATAATACCTAGACTGACGACGCATTCATAATAATGAATGCAAATGGACTCGTCATTTTTGTGACCCAATATAGTAATTATTGTCACGTTAAAAACTACTATTAAATTGATAACTTACTTATATTATCTCGATTATCAGGCAATTCTTTAATAAAGTTTGCGTCAGACATAGGAATAAATTGGCCTCTCGTTTGAAATTCTTACTAACGATATGGGTTATCAAAATGTACCCTGCATCGTCTAGTCATAGGTTGGATCCCATTAATTATTTTATAACTTTATTATATAAAATAAATAACGATAATTAGTAAATGTTCGGTCCATCTTAGACTAGGCCGATCTTCATTTACAAACCATTGGGTCTCTTAGGGTTTTCATCTTGCATTTGTGAGTTACTCAGAATTTCCATATTAATTATAAACTATATTTTTTTTTAAAAAAAATTTGTTCTCCAATTAAGAGCGCCAAAAGCGTGGTGACCTTCGAAATTTTGCCGGAACCTCCTCAAAATAGGGCGCCTTCCAATCCCTGGCCCGAATGGCCCAAAGTGTTCAAGGTCGATTACGGGCACGAAGAGAGCCTTTACAAACAGGACAAGGATCCTCGGGTGTTTTGTATCATGAGCAAAGTAAGGGATAACATACATTTACACATAATTACGAACCTTTACTCAATCGATTTTTTTAGGAATTCGTAGAATCGCAAACTAACCCCGGTCATATCGGCGGCATAAAAACGGCTCTCATCGAATGGGAAAAGACCCCGACCGGGGTATGGTGCATGAAGGAAAAGCCGGGAAGCGAAAAAACTTATGAAGCCGACCTGATTTTGCTGGCGCTGGGCTTTTTGGGGCCCGAAAAGAAATTGTTGGAGTTTTTCGAGCTGGAGACCGACCTTCGAGGTAACATAGCCACCCCTCGCAAGAAGTACTGCACCGCTAACCCCAAGATATACGCCGCCGGAGGTTTATATTTGTCTTTATTTTAAAAAATATTCGCTTAATAATTTTGAATTTTTAGAGAACTTTCTTCTTGCTACAAAAAAAAGGGGGGTATTTAATTGTTGAAAAAGTAATTTATTTTTTTCGTGGTAAAAGATACTTTTGAAATTTCGAATTCTCTTTATTTTACAAACGAATTTCTTTTCTTTTTTTTAAAAAAAAATTATTTAATTTTGTTTCGCGAAAAGAATTTTTTTTTTACGCTAATAAAATTTCTAAAAAATAGTCGTTATTTTTTTTTTCTCTTTTTTTTTTGTTAAAATATTTTTAAAAAAATAAAAAAAATAAACCTTTTTTAAATCATGTAAATAAATCAACTCCCCCCTCCAAAAAAATAAATAAATAATATATATATAAAATAATTTGAATAATAATATTATAAACATATTCAGTGGGCTTTTTATGTTTAGATATAAATCTTTATTCGATATTATTCTAAAAATATAAAAAAAAGAAATAAAAATTGATTTAATCCCTGAATTTATTCAAAAAAAATCTTTGATTTTAATCTTGCTCTAATTTGCTATTGATTAATTCAATATGCCTCTCGTTTTTATGACAATATTTTTATTTATAAATTATTCGTTATAATTCTGTCAATTTAATTATTTCAATATAAATTTTTTTTTATTTAAATAAATTTTATTATTTGAATAATACGCAAATAATAAATCAATATTACTCTAAAATATTTTATAAAATATGTCTGTTGAATGTTTGCGTTAATATGATGCAATTGACATTATAATACCTAGAACTGACGATGCATTCATAATAATGCATTCGAAAACGTCGTTTGAATACAAATCAGCTGGACCCGCCATTTTGGTAACCCATATATCCCATGTTAAAAACTACCATTAAATTGATAACTTGGCTTCCTTATTATCTCGATGATCCGGTAATTCTTTAATAAAGTTCGCATCAGGATATAGGAATAAATTAGGCTCTCGTTTAAAATTTTAATAATGATTAGTGTAACCAAGATGGCGTCTCCAGCTGATTTGCGATGCACACTTTTAATGAATGCATGCATCGTCAGTCTAGGTATTATTATATGTCATTGATACATTACGAAATATTCTTCTTCAAGATGTCGGAGTTTAGAAACTGAACTAAAAATCGGTTACAATTCTAAAATTAATCTTATTTTTTTTTACAGATTGCAGAAGAGGTCAATCTCTCGTGGTTTGGGCCATCAACGAGGGTCGTCAAGCCGCTCGGCTAATAGACATCGACCTCATGGGCAAAACCTCGTTAGCGGGACCTGGCGGAATCGTACACACCCTACCCAAAATGATGGCTAACCGAGCGAATTAACTCGCGGTTTTTTCTTTTGTATATCCGGTATAGTTTATCACTTGGATATAGTTGATTACAAATATATTTTAATCCATCTATCCTCTCTGTTCCCATCTTATTACGCGCACATCGTCAAATCTCTTATTAAAAATCAAATATTATTCTTTTTTTAAAAAAATATTTCGCATCAATAATTATAAATTAAAATAATTTTATATTTTATTCCATAAATCGCACACCACTTTTATTTACGGACTATAAAATTATTATCAATTTTTGGTAATATTTTACTCGTATTTCATTCAGTATTGAATTATTTTTCTGTTTTTTTTGTAGCTAAATTTTTTTTTGTCCCCTTCTTTTATACGTAATAATTTAGTTTTTGCGGGGTGGTTAAAGATATTTATTATACTAAATATAGTTGTTTTTTTTACAATCACCCAATCTGTACCTTAAAAAATTGGTATCATGATACATTTTCATTACAATTATTCCTCCCATTATATATTAGTGTTGTTAAACGGCTCGATTTAAGCTTATTTTTTAAAAACACTCAATATTTTAGTCAGAAAAATATTGTTTAAGCCTCGAGATTTCGTTAATAGATGTTCAAACCTTTGTGCTATGAGCAAAATCTTAAGGCTTGCATAACCATTTTTCCTAATAAAATATTATGTTGCCGTTTAACAACACTCCAAATCAAATAATCCTTAGTTTTTTTTGTCTTTGTTATACTACTATATTATATATATATATAAATTTTTGTGTAAAATTGTAATTAATCCCCCTTTTTTTAAAAATTTTTTAGAAAATTGAGCAAGTCATGGATATCAATTATAAACAATAGTGAAAATTTTATTACGTTTTTTGTTTATTTTATTTTATCATTGAAATACGACATTAAACTCATAATAACGATACCCTTATAAATATTATAATTGGTTATGTAAAGGTGCGTACCATAAAAAATCAAACTCTAGTTACTTCTAAAGTAACTCTTTTTTTTAAAATAAAAATACACTTTTTTAAGATTTACAACCTAAGAATTATATAATTATAGAAGAGAAAGGTAAGGGAGACACTACTTTTCTCTAAGTATTGTAAGAGCAAGTATAAGACTTAAATATGTCAAAATTTTTAAATAGCGCCACTAAGAGAATAGGTAACCCGGTTATTTGTAGGTTATAAAAACATAAATATCGCCGGGGTGGCCTAATGGGTAAGATGTACGCTTGGAAACACGAGTATGAACAAGGACGCAGGTTCAATCCTGGTAAGAACCATAAAAACTTTCAAGTTTTTCTTCGATGACTGATGTGTAAAGACATATGGTATGATGAATTTCGAAGCTTAGAGATGACACCCCGGTCACAGACAGGCCTGGACAGCCGGGTGCTAAGGATACCTGTCCAATAAACAAAATGAAGAAAACAAATGGAAATATGAATATGAAAGATAGGGCGTTCCCTCCAAGCGACGCACAGGGTGTAGACCTCCATCCTGTGAAAAGTAAAGTAAAGGTCAAAGCAAAGAAAACAAGATTAGCAAGTTTGAATATTGGGACGCTTAAAGGTAAGAAGAGAGAATTGGCATCAATGATGAACAAGAGAAAAGTTGATATAGCCTGCATACAAGAGACGAAATGGAAAGGACAGAAGACTTTGATGATTGGAGATGGGTATAAATTGTACTATAATGGACTTGTTAGCAATAGGAACGGTGTCGGCATCATCCTCATTCAAGATCTAACCTCCTCAGTTGTAGAAGTCAACAGGATCTCTGATAGACTAATGAAGATAAAACTCTGCATTGGTCAATCAATACTACACATCCTTTCATTATATGCTCCTCAAACGGATTGCAAGGAGAAAGAGAAAGATGATTTTAGAGCTATCCTCGATGAAGCTGTAATGGAATTCCCTAAGGATGACCTAGTCATAATTGGTGGTGACTTAATATGTGGGGAAAGCAAGAGATAGCTATAAAAATGATGGTTTTGGATATGGAGAAAGAAATGATGAAGGAGAGCATATGCGCAAGCCTTCGACCTTGCCTTAACCAACACCTACTATAGGAAAAAGGATAGTCATTTAATAACATATGAAAGTGGTACAAGGAAAACACAGATAGATTACATACTAATCTCTCGCAGAAGATTACAAGATGTAATAGACTGTAAAGTCATTCCAGGAGAAGATATCGCCGCACAACACAAGCTACTAGTCATGGATTTACACATCTCAAATAAATCCACTCAAAACAAGATAAAACCGGAACCATGCATCAAATGGGGCAAATTAAAAACAATGACAGATGCCTTTGCAATCAATGCAAACATTGAAACAATAGATTCCTCACAATTCAGTGAAAAAATGTGGACAGACCTTTCATCCAGATTAATAGACACTGCCAAATCGACACTAGGCTTGACAAGAGGAGGCAACAAATCATACAAATAGTGTTGTTAAATGGCCCGTTTTGAGCCGATTTTTAAAAACGGCTAACTCAATATTTCGTCCAGAAAAATATTACGCAAGCCTCAAGATTTTGCTCATAGAAGGAACAAAGGTCTAGGCATATATTATCGAAATCTCGAGGCTTAGGCAATATTTTCCTAGCTAAAATATTGAGTTAGTCGTTTTAAAAAATCGGCTCAAAATGAGCCGTTTAACAACACTACATACAAAGAACTATGGTGGTGGAATGAAGAGGTACAAACCACTATCCAGGAGAAAAAAGCCCTTTATAAAATATGGTACAAATCCAAAAACGCAGATGACAAGACAAGATACAAAAAATCCAAGAGATTAGCTATGAAGGCGGTGGCTAGAGCCAAATCTATGGCATACGATGACATGTAAGAAGATCTACATACCAAAGAAGGGCAAAATAAAATATACAGATTAGCCAAACAGCGAGAAAAGAACTCTAGGGGTATAACGGAGCTCCGAAAGTAATCAAAAAGATGGGAAATTGATAATAAAGGAAAAAGAAATAATGAGTAGATGGAGAGAATATTTTCAGGAGCTTCTCAACTTTAATCCGCACATACTGCATCTAGACAAACACTCCCCTTGTCAAAACCTTGTACAACCTATAACACAACAAGAAATAATCACATGCCTCAAGCATATGAAAAACAACAAAGCTAGGGGTCCAGACGATATTCCAATAGAAAGTCTTAAAGCACTAGGAGATGATGGCTTACAAATCTATACAATAAGATACTTGGAAATGAAGAGGTTCCCCAAAAATGGAGGCAGAGCTATCAAGTTCCTATCTTCAAAAATAAAGGGGATCCACATAATTGTCAAAATTACAGGGGCATAAAACTAATGTCACACTATCTAAAACTATACGAAAAAATAATAGAAAAAGATTAAGAGATATAATCGAAATAGGAGAGACTCAGTTTGGCTTTATGCCTGGAAGATCAACAACCGATGCTATCCACGCAATTAGGCAAATGAGTGAAAAATACAGGGAAAAGAACAAAAAGCTACACATGGTCTTTCTCGATCTAGAAAAGGCCTTTGATAGAATCCCAAGAAAACTTATCTGGTGGGCGCTACGCCACAAAAAAGTTCCCGAAAAATATATAAGAATAATACAGGATATGTATATGGGCCATACAACAATGGTCTGTAGCACAACAGGTACTTCAGCAGGCTTCGCAATAGCCGACAGTAATAGATGTATTAGCACAGTCTATACCTCAAACAGTCCCGTGGAATATGATATTTGCAGATGATATTGTGATACTTGCCGAATCTAAGTATGAAATGAAAGAAAGACTAGTGAGTTGGATATATATCCTAGAAACGCACGGATTAAAAGTAAATAGAGAAAAGACGGAGTATATGGTGATAGGAGGAGATGAAACAGAGAGTATTGATATAAATGAATGGCAGATGTACGGCAATTGAAAGCTGCAAATATTTGGGCTCCACTATACAAACAAACGGCACAATAGAAAAAGAGATAAAGAGTAAGATTAATCAAGGGTGGCTAAAGTGGAGATCTTTATCTGGAGTGCTATTTGATAAAAGAATCTCACACAAATTAAAGGGAAAAATTTACAGTTCCATAATACAACCAACTATTCTATATAGTTTGGAAACATGGCCAACCAAAGAATCAGACGAGAGAAGTCTACAAACCATGGAGATGAGAATGCTGAGGATGATTGCTGGGATAACAAGAAAGGATAAAGTGCGCAGTACAAGAATACTAAGTAGTTTAAAGGTAGTGCCCATTAAGACTAAGTTAATAATAAACAGACTTAGGTGGTATGGGCACACAATGAGAAGGCCTATGAACTACATAGGAAATAAAGTTAAGAGTTTGGAAGTGATGGGCAAACGTAAAAGAGGAAGGCCAAAACTTCAATGGGGTCATAAAGTTAGAGCCAATATAAAGAAGTATAAATTAGATAAAAGAGATTGTATTAATAACATAAAGTGGAGAGAGATGTTGAAGGAGCTTACCACCAGAAAAGGTGAAAGCTAAAGAGAAAAAAAATAAAAATTCTAATAAGTTAAAATTACGGAAAAAAACATTACCACCCAACCCCGATTTATAAAAAAATCGGCTATCCAGCTGTATAGAAAAAAATGATAATATTTAATCTATATATTATAATAATGTATTTAACCATAGCGCTTTCAAACGGGCGGATATTTAATAATTTATATAATTATAAAATGATTTTTGGGAGATGCTAGACACAGCATATCATATTGAACTCTTCGTGTAAAAAATTAAATAGATTAAAGTTGTTCTACCCTCTCATGGACACGTGATTTATAGTTGTTGTAACTGTTGAAAAAAAGAAGAAATAAATTTAATATAATACATCAAATGTCAGTTATTTTCTGACAGGGAAATTAAGTTTTCCTTGGGGGAAGAAGAGGAGATAGGGATCACGGGGTGTGTTTCATTGTTCGGAAAAACCCGTAGTTGGAGATTAAGAGATATTGGATTAGATGTCAGCTGTGGACCTTTGGATGTCAGCTGTGGACCTTTGAGAAATGAAGAATTGGATAATTATATTATGTTATATTTTTCTACATATTTTATGTTAGATTGTTGTGGTTTTATTGGAAATAAAGATAATTATGTTAAATATGGATCGTCGTTAATGGTCAATGGTATTTATTTAATATTATTAGAAAGAATTATTTTGGGTTGTTAAGTTATATAATTGAGAGTAAAGGGCATTTTTATTATATTTAAGGTAACTTGTAATAATAGTCTCTGTATTAAATAATAAAAAAACACTAATACAAAGTGAATTAATAATTTACATTTCAATATATTATTTATATATTAAATTTTACTATGATTACTAGTTGAAATAATATTTTAGTAATCTCGGTATAGAGTTTATTTTTACCAAATAAACAATTTTTCTTTTTATTTAAAAAATTATTAAAACTGGAGATCGTTGGCTCATAATTAAGAAATATCAGTGGAGTTTTATTCTGGAATTTTAAATAATAATAAAACGAGCCATATATGTATCTATATATAATTTTACCTTATTCTGTAGGCTATGTCCTAAATTAAAAATAAAAAATTACTCAAAAGTTTTACGATACGCACAAATTTTGAGAGTTTTGAGAGATACGAAATATGTCCCAAATCATCCATTAAATTTTGAAAATGTTTTGATGATGTCAATGATTTACTAATTCTGTGCTGCATCCCTATATTTTAAGTCGCTATTCCACCATTATCTATGTGGTCTTATATTTACCATCAAATGATATTCACTCGCCATTTTTGTCGCAAAAATTACGCAAACTACAAAACTTTAATGAAA